GGAAAATTGTGCAGATTTCTTAAAGGCAGAAAGCAACTCCGTTTCCCCAATTCTGGGTACTTGTACTAGGCCTCCTCTGGGAGGATTCCTCTAACTTTCTTTCCTGGTAAAAATATTACTATAACTGGAAGTCCACAGAAATCTCCACTGTGAATGCAGCAGAGGGCTATGAAAAGATAAATCTGTAACAGTCTGCGATCCAGAGATAGAAATATGCATGAAATGATGACTATACCTGGAGTCACTAAAATATCTGCAGAGATGGAAGTCTCTTCTACTTGTATTGTGGATCTTCTTCTGCAGGAGCACGCATTTGTGATGTGACAGGTAAAGGCACCCATGTTACAGGTAAAGGCACCCATGTGTACATACCCCAGTCCTGATGTCATTGTGCCGTGTCTGCTTGTCTTCTGCCATGCAAGTTGGTTGACAAGCTTTACCTTTATATAAAGTATCTTTCAGTGGTTGTAAACCTCTGAAATGAAAATTGTACAAAGCAAATCCCTTTATAGTATGTACTTGCCTCTATCCAAAGCACCTAGTCTGCTCTCTCATTGCTCAGCTGTGTGCATAAGTTGCTTCTTACAGTCTATGCTGACACCAGACAATCCTGGGAGACAGGAGCGCTGGGCAGAAAAAAAAGCCACTTTTAAGACTGGTTCATACCTATGCAGTTTGCTTTTGATAGGTTTCTGCAGTGCATTTTGTGGTGAGTGTTTGCGTATGTTTATTTATGCATTCCTTGATGCATTTTGTGTCTTTGCTTTTGTTATGCAGGTTAAAAATGCAAAACAAATAAAAAATGTGCTACATGCGTTTCTGCCGCGTGTCCTATTCTATTCTAGTCTATTGAGCCAAAAATACACCGTGTTGCATTTAAAAAAAAAAAAAAAAATGTGACCGTGTCCCATAGGAAACCATGTCAAATGGACTGTAGTGCATTTATGCAAAATGCACTAAAAAAACGCATAAGTGTGAACCAGTTCTTACGTGCGGATTTATGAAAAAATACACATCCATACCCACCTCTGTATTGCAGCATCAATATGATGTCACAGCTGTTTCACATCAACTCAAAGAAATGAGCGATCACATGATCGCTGATTGCTTAGTTCTTGGTGTGAGCAGAGAGCGGTGACTGTCAGTTACTGCTCTCTGCTCTGCTCCTCCAGTGCTCATCGGAGCATTGGACTGGTAAGTGGGCGGCACAACTGTACTTGGCTCTCAGCCGCACACTGAGAAGCAAAGCCAGCTGTCAATCAACAGCCAGGTGGATCCTAACAATATTGTCAGGATCCTTCCAAAGCCTGGAGCGGCAATAGCCCACTATCAACTGACTCTGGGCCATAGGAAGACAAAAGAAATTGTACTGCTGTGTGACCTACAAGAGAAGTACAGCCAAAAAAGCTTTGAGCATACTTGTCTTTTAAGTGCGTGAACATCTCCTGTGTCCTGTGGTCACTTATTTATTTATTTCAGGCACTTTCTGTCAATTTATGCAGCGCTTTACATATATATTGTACATTCTTATCAGTCCCTGACCCTCAAGGGGCGTACAATCTAAGGTCCCTAACTTACACTCATACATACACATACTAGGGACAATTTAGACAGGAGCCAATTCACCTACCAGCATGTCTTTGGAGTGTGGGAGGAAACAGGGAGAACATGCAAACTCCAGGCAGGTGGTGCCGTGGCTGGGATTCGAACCAACGACCCTAGTACTGCCAGGCGGAAGTGCTAACCATTTAGCCACTGTGCTGCCCCATCCATGCACTCATAGGCTTTTACAGGTGCTTTAGAGGAGGAGCATTTATAGGCCATAAAATAACCCATCACCAGCATGTTCAGGAGAGGAGTGTTTGGGCAGAAAAAAAACGCACATAAGCATGCGTTAGTCTAGGTTTACACCTATGCGTTTTCTGTTGCGTTTTGCAGAACGCACAGCAGTCCACTTAACATGATTTCCAATGGGACAGGTTCACATCTCCGTGTTTTCACCTGATTTTGTCTTTTGGAGAGCGGCAGAGACTTTTTTAATCGCAAAACATTGCAGGTTTTTTTTTTTTTGGTATTATAGATTTCAATGGTGACTGTGCAGAAAGGCATGTAGTGCGTTTTTTGATGTGGTTTGCGTTTTAATCTGCCTGGGAACGAGGTGGGGAAAAACCCCCACAAAACGCATCAAAAACACGTCAAGAACATGTGCAAAAATGCAAAACACACCACAAAAAGCACCGCAGAAGCGGATCAAACGCAAACTTCATAGGTCTGAACCTAGGGCTAGTGCTAGTTGTGTTTTTAAGTGCGTTTGCGTGTTGGTGCATTCTAATGGCAAGGATAAATGAATATTCTGAACAATGAATACATTCACTCCAAATGTGCAAATGTCCATAAATGCGTGTGCAAAACTTGGCTTTTACCGCTAAGTGGCTTTTCTCCCGCCAGGAGAAAAGGACGTTTAGAAGGGCTGAGTAAGCGCTCAGTGTGCATGAGGTCTAAGATGCTTATATACATGTAAATAAAGGGAAATGATGATCAAGAAAAGTCTCTGTATTATGGCTTTTATCGGTTTGATAAACAAAAGTCCTGAACACAACTAAATTCGGATGCTGTTACTGCTGATTTGCTTCTGGAAATGCAGCATTTCTGGCTGTTACACCCATCTAATAACTTCAATGCTTCGAGAGAATAAAAACTGATAAGTATGCAGGTCAGACAAGTCACTGTGAAATCAGAACTAATCTGTACTGTTCCTGTATCCAGAAATCGGGAAGTAGTAATGCAGCCAAATTGACATGACAGCCAGGGAACTAGTATTTTCAAAAGGAAGGTCAACCATGGCAGCTTCTATTCTTCCTGGTAGAGGAGCAGCAGTGGTAAAGGGCTCTGGAATTGTGAGTCTAGTATGTAGTTTGGATTTGTGCAGTGCCCAGTAGAGGATAGGTGAATGTAGGTTCTCAGCTGGATGCTGGGGGAGAGGTTTGGACCTATGGAATCTTCACCATGCTCTTTTTTCCCCCAAGTTCATCCCATCAGAACAAGTGCTTGCCATATAGGAACACCATAATACCATAACTGCTCTGTTTTACAGGTGTATGTGGAGACTAGTGGGGATCATTTTTTAAAAATAAATCTTTCTGTTCTGAAAATCTGAAACCTGCTACCCACAGTTTTTTATTGTGTTTTTCCTTTTAGTTCAGAGTATTGACCCTGCATTCACTATATCTGGTCTCCCCGGACCCTGCATTCACTATATCAGGTCTCCCCGGACCCTGCATTCACTATATCTGGTCTCCCCGGACCCTGCATTCACTATATCTGGTCTCCCCCCGTACCCTGCATTCACTATATCAGGTCTCCCCGGACCCTGCATTCACTATATCTGGTCTCCCATGACCCTGCATTCACTATATTTGGTCTCCCATGACCCTGCATTCACTATATCTGGTCTCCCATGACCCTGCATTCACTATATCTGATCTCCCATGACCCTGCATTCACTATATCTGATCTCCCATGACCCTGCATCCACTATATCCGGTCTCCCCGGACCCTGCATTCACTATATCTGGTCTCCCATGACCCTGCATTCACTATATCTGGTCTCCCCGGACCCTGCATTCACTATATCTGGTCTCCCATGACCCTGCATTCACTATATCTGGTCTCCCTGGACCCTGCATTCACTATATCTGGTCTCCCAGGACCCTGCATTCCCTATATCTGGTCTCCCCGGACCCTGCATTCACTATATCTGGTCTCCCTGGACCCTGCATTCCCTATATCTGGTCTCCCCGGACCCTGCATTTACTTTCTGTTCTCCTACAGTACACACAACATGGAAATGCAATTGTTTTAGTAAATATAAACCGCTAAATACTTTTTCTCATCAGCAGTTAGAGCAGTCTTGTGACTCCTATCAGTGTTCAGCCGAGCACTGGTTAAAGCTTGTAGGAGGAGTTTTCTTTCTGTGCTGGGAGGATGCAGAGCCCCTGACCTCTGTCTGAACAGTGCTGATTGGCCCTGTTATGATTGCATGCTCTCTCCCAAGAAAAAGAACCTCTGTAGCAATACACACTAAACTGTTCATGTGCAAAGTGACTCCACACGATATGTCTTATCAGGAAATAATAGAGGGACTTATGTCCCCCAGAGAATACAGGATCATACATCCTTTTTACACAATGTGGAGGACCTTTATGTAAGGGAGGACTCTGATGGGAATCCTGATGTAAGAGAGGACTGTGATGTAAGAGGGGACTTTAGTGGGAACCCTGATGTAAGGGGGGACGCTGATGGAAACCCTGATGTTAGGGGGGGCGCTGATGGGAACCCTGATGTAAGGGGGACGCTGATGGGAACCCTGATGTAAGGGGGGACGCTGATGGGAACCTTGATGTAAGGGGGGACGCTGATGGGAACCTTGATGTAAGGGGGGACGCTGATGGGAACCCTGATGTAAGTGGGGACGCTGATGGGAACTCTGATGTAAGGAGGGAAGCTGATGGGAACTCTGATGTAAGTGGGGATGCTGATGGGAACTCTGATGTAAGGGGGGACGCTGATGGGAACCCTGATGTAAGGGGGGACGCTGATGGGAACCCTGATGTAAGGGGGGACGCTGATGGGAACCCTGATGTAAGGGGGGACGCTGATGGGAACCTTGATGTAAGGGGGGACGCTGATGGGAACCTTGATGTAAGGGGGACGCTGATGGGAACTCTGATGTAAGGAGGGAAGCTGATGGGAACTCTGATGTAAGGGAGGACTCTTTTGTCCCAGGAATGTTTATAAAATATACTATGTGGCCCTTGTACTGAAACGTCTGCAGAGCCCTGGTCTAAATCCATTACTTTTAATCTCTTGGTGGGCTGGTATTGGAGTATTGCCCTTTATTATGTCCCTGAAGACGGACATTGATTACCAACTTTTACATCTGACAAATCTTGAAATGTGAGTTGCAGTTGTTGATTTATTTTCCCTTTGTTTTATTTCAGTGGACTTATTGTTCCGGAGAAGGAAAGTAACGAGTCCGTTCCGGAAGTTGCGGCTACCTCTGGTTATGCTCTATTACATTTCTTCAGTGACGCCGCCTACAACCTGACCGGATTTAACATCGGCTACAGGTAACACGGTCCAGCCCCAGACTGGCGGGGTGTTCTGTACAGCATGTCTGACTACTTTAGATCAAGCTGTAATTCTTTACAGGAACATATGTTTTCTCTTTTTTTAGTTGACACGTTGATATCCGATGAAATAATTGACGCTTTTACAGCTCTGACAGCTGAAACATAAATATTACCAGACGTGTTATATGTAATTAGGAATCTGGGCTTGTCACTGTTCACTGAACCTGCCGAGATTCCCCGCTATCTGCTCTGCACAGAGTTCCTGTATGTCATCCCGGCACTGGATGGTACAGACACTGAATCTGTGGCAGTGATGGAGGGGCTTCTTTCCATATTGTGTCCCAGGAAACCAAACCGCATTGAGGCACAAATACATTTCTTCTTGAATGCAGATTATCTTTTAGTAATAAAATATTTCCAAAAAAAGAAAAGAAAATACCTTTAGAATTTATTTTATTTATTTATTATAGGTACTAATATAGCACCATCAATTTACGCAGCACTTTACATACACAGGCGTACCTCGGTTTACGAACACCTCGGTTAACGTAATTTTCGGTTTACAAATGAAAATCCATTGAAAATAATGCCTCGGTTTACACATTTTTTTTGCAATTGAAGCAAGTTTCCCCAGGATACATTGCCCCTGGGAGGTTCATAGCACCGGCCCCGTGCCTTTAAAGTGCACTTAAAAAAAAAAAGAAGTCTTATCTGTGCAAAACTCTTTATACTTTTTTCAGACCTCCAGAACGGATTAATTGGTTTTGAATGCGTTTTACGAATTTGTTTCGCAAAACGAAGCAAGTTTCCACAGGATGCATTGTGCCTGGGAGGTTTATAGTGCCGGCCCCGTGCCTTTAAAGTGCACTTTATAAAGAGTTTTGCACAGATAAGACTTTTAAAAAACTTTTTTTTCTGACCTCCGGAACGGATTAATTGGTTTTCAATGCTTTTACAAATTTTTTTTCTCAATACAAAGCAAGTTTTCCCAGGATGAATTGCACCTGGGAGGTTCATAGTGCCAGCCGTGCCTTTAACCCCTTGCCTACAGCGCACTTATACCCCCTTCCTGCCCAGGCCAATTTCCAGCTTTCAGCGCTGTCACACTTTGAATGACAGTTGCGCGGTCATGCAACACTGTACCCATATGAAATTTTTATCATTTTTTGTCAGATAGAGCTTTATTTTGGTGGTTTTAATCACCTCTGGGTTTTTTATTTTTTCTTAAACCGACCAAAAACCACTGAAAATTTTGAAGAAAAACATTTTTTTTCTTAGTTTTTGTCATAACATTTTGTAAATAAGTGATCATCAATGCCGCATCAGGGCACTGGCACGAGGCACTGATGAGCACTGACACAAGGCACTGATGGACACTGACAGGTGGCACTGCTGGGGCTACACTGATCATCAGGGCACACTGATCATCAGTTCCCTGATAATCAGTGTACATGTCCCCTCCGCGGAAAGCCAATTACCGGCTCTCCTCTCCTCTGTCAGCGTGACAGCTCGTGGGGAGAGAAATGCCGATAACCGGCATTTTCCTTGTTTACATGTGATCAGCTGTGATTGGACACAGCTGATCACATGACCGAGCCGACATCTTCCGTGCTCTTCCGTGATCAGTGATCCGCTGTGTCCGTGGGACACAGCGCACCGCCGATCGCCGCGCATGCACGGTGAGAATGGGAGGACGTCATATGACGTCCTCCCAGAACGAGAGAACCACCTTGCACCAGTCATATCACTATATGGCGGGCGGGAGGTGTTTTTTTTACTTTTTTCTGACCTTCGGAACAGATTAATTGGTTTTTCAATGCATTTACAATTTTTTTTCACAATACGAAGCAAGTTTCCCCGGGATAAATTGCGCCTGAGAGGTTTATAGCGCCGGCCCCGTGCATGCTGGAGTCTGTGGGTAGCACATGGTGTCGAGTGTGGAGGCGTTGGAGCGGTTTTTGCATCGAGTTTTGGAGCCATTCTAGAAATTTTTAATCGTGTCTCTGTACAGTATTTATGCCTTTAAAGTGCACTTTATAAAGAGTTTTGCACAGATAAGACTTTTTTTTTTTTTAAACTTTTTTTCTGACCTCCGGAACGGATTAATTGGTTTTCAATGCATTCCTATGGGAAACTGCATTTCGGTTTACGAATTTTTCGCAATACGAAACGGCCCGGAGAACGCATTAAATTCGTAGACCGAGGTACGCCTGTATACTGTACATCACATCAGCCCATGCTTGCAATTTACTTAAAGTCTAAGGTCCCTAACTCTGTATACTGGGGCCAATTTAGAGAGAACACACCCTACCAGCATGTCTTTGGAGTGTGGGAGGAAACAGGGAGAACATGCAAACTCCAGGCAGGTAGTGCTGTAGTTGGCATTCGAACCAACGACCCATTTCCTGCTAGTCGGAAGTGCTAAGCACTTAGTCACCGTGCTGCCCTACTTGTATTCTTGACTTGTTCCTATACACATGCTAGGTTTACTTCTTACATAAGAACTTCACCCAAAACGGACGTTCCCCTTTATGTTCTCCTCACCTCAACCCCCCCCCCCCCCGTTGGAACTTTTTAGTTATTTATTTGGGGGCGGGTACCTAGCTTTGACAGGTACCTGCTCCCCACATCCACTGGAATCATCTAGTTCTTCCGACTTCCCCCTCCCTGTAACCTTCCTCTGTCAAGGATTCCAGAAGGCCGTGGGACCGTTCACACAGCGCAGCGAGGCTTGTGCATGCGCAGTGAGAAGGTGGCTTCACACACCATACATGCTGCTACCTGGAACCCAAAGACCGGCAAAGAACTGGTCGGGTGAGGACATCGCTGGATCCCTGGACAGGTAAGTATCCTTTTATTAAAAGTCAGCAGCTACAGGACTTGTAGCTGACGACTTACATTTTTTTTAAACCTGGCTGAAGGAGCACTTTAATGTTTAACAGCAGCTGACTTGTTGCCTCCAGTACCTTGTACCTTTTATGTCGTGTACACCTTTTTAAACAGTGTTGATGGCTTATACATCTGTGCCCGTTTCCCTTCATGGAGAAAATGTAATAAAAATCTGTTAGAAATTGAGCACCTTTATGGAAATTATGTTGGCACGGGGTAATGCTGTCATTTCTAGTGGTGCACTGAAATTAAAATTTCGGTGCCAAAACCGAAAATTCAGGATGCCCTTGGCAAGAAACAAACATTTTTTAAAAGTATTTAATGTGGCTGGTGTTTTTTGCATTGAAGTCCATGGGATGTGATTTTGCATTGAAGTCCATGGGATGTGATTTTGCATTGAAGTCCATGGGATGTGATTTTGCATTGAAGTCCATGGGATGTGATTTTGCATTGAAGTCCATGGGATGTGATTTTTGCATTGAAGTCCATGGGATGTGATTTTGCATTGAAGTCCATGGGATGTGATTTTGCATTGAAGTCCATGGGATGTGATTTTGCATTGAAGTCCATGGGATGTGATTTTGCATTGAAGTCCATGGGATGTGATTTTGCATTGAAGTCCATGGGATGTGATTTTGCATTGAAGTCCATGGGATGTGATTTTGCATTGAAGTCCATGGGATGTGATTTTGCATTGAAGTCCATGGGATGTGATTTTGCATTGAAGTCCATGGGATGTGATTTTGCATTGAAGTCCATGGGATGTGATTTTGCATTGAAGTCCATGGGATGTGATTTTGCATTGAAGTCCATGGGATGTGATTTTGCATTGAAGTCCATGGGATGTGATTTTGCATTGAAGTCCATGGGATGTGATTTTGCATTGAAGTCCATGGGATGTGATTTTGCATTGAAGTCCATGGGATGTGATTTTGCATTGAAGTCCATGGGATGTGATTTTGCATTGAAGTCCATGGGATGTGATTTTGCATTGAAGTCCATGGGATGTGATTTTGCATTGAAGTCCATGGGATGTGATTTTGCATTGAAGTCCATGGGATGTGATTTTGCATTGAAGTCCATGGGATGTGATTTTGCATTGAAGTCCATGGGATGTGATTTTGCATTGAAGTCCATGGGATGTGATTTTGCATTGAAGTCCATGGGATGTGATTTTGCATTGAAGTCTATGGGGAGGCGATTTTGCCATCAAAGTCTATGTGCAAGCGATTTTTCCATCAAAGTCTATGGGGAGGCGATTTTGGCATCAAAGTCTATGGGGAGGCGATTGTGGCACCAAGTCTATGGGGAGGCGATTGTGGCATCAAAGTCTATGGGGAGGCGATTGTGGCATCAAATTCTATGGGGAGGCGATTGTGGCATCAAATTCTATGGGGAGGCGATTGCGGCATCAAAGTCTATGGGGAGGCGATTGCGGCATCAAAGTCTATGGGGGACAAAATTTTGATAACCCTATTTTCAACTGACAATTTTCAGCGGCTGATCTATCGGTGCATCCCTATTTCCTTTATAAGATTCAGTTTATATCCATGCACATGCAGTAATTTGTTTCTAATACAGATGTTTGCCCATGATTCACATACACTGGCCTGCTTTTGTGAAATTTTGCAGTGAAGCTAAACTAGAACTCCAGTCAAAACTTTTTTTTTTTTTTTCCTTCCTGTTGGAAGGCAGGGGTTTTGTCAGGTTTTTGTTCCTGATAAAAATTCAGATTAGTTTTCTCTCGCCTTGTGTCATTTGGACAGGAAGTGAGGAGAATTGCTCCAGTGGGTACATTCAAAGAGCTTTCATTAGTAGAGTGAATAGGGGCTAGAAAGTGTTTCCTGTTGGAACGATATCCTTGCTTCCTGTGCTGCCACTGTCACAGGAAGTGTTTGACGATCTCCCCAATAACAAAACAGCTGCTAGTAAATACTGTACATGGCAAAAGTTCCCGTCTTTCCTTATCTCAGTAAAAAAAAAATAAAAATTTGCAGACTTTTTTTTTTTTTTTTACGAAATCACATTCTTTCATATTTCAGTGCAAAGACGTGCCCCTAACTCCCCCTGCAGCATGTTGCCTCTGGTTTATGATATTCACATAATTTCCTTTATGTTGCAGCATTGACACATGTCCCAACAACTGCTCTGGAAGGGGGATGTGTGCGACCAGGAATGACACCGGTGTTTACTGTGATTGCGCTGAGAACTGGAAAGGAGAGTCATGTGACATCCCGTACTGCCTGGACAGCTGCGGAGAGCCTGAGCGTGGGGTGTGCAATCTGAACGGCACCAAGGGATGTGTCTGCAACCCAGGCTGGCAGGGTGAGTCCCAGCAGAGTTTGTCTCCTTTGCCGAAGAATGATTATATTAAACATTGATCCTACGTGCAAAGTATAATCGTTATGAATAAAATATATGTAGGCAGCCATTGCTGATTTCTGTGGGTTAAAGTGTCCCTCTCACTGAGGGTGCTGGAATGAGTATAGACGTAAGGAACTTTGACTTTGCTGTGGTTCGTTCGCTTGATACTGTTACATTTCTAAAGCAAGCTATAGAATCAGCAGTTTTCTATCCTTCAGCCACGGGTTGAAGTAAAGAAAATCATTTGATTCACCCATCAACACAGTCAGTGTTGATGGGGGGTGTAACGGAGGAAAGGCAGGACAGAACACACAGAGTGGATGGCAGATGCACAAAGCTTTATTGAGACAAACAGACGGCAGTCCTTCAGTTTCGGGGGGGGTGGCAGAGAGGGTGGATTTGCCACTAAATGGTAATGAGGGGGGCCCCACCCACTTATAGTCCACTAGGACACAGTCCGACACAGGAGGGGGGTGCGAGGAGTCACCACCGCAACAGTTCAGGTAACACAGTGGGGAAGCAGGTACTCACGGATCCAACAGGGTGCCTGGTCTCCCAGGGGTAGAAGCAGAACGCAGGTACCTGTGGAGTCAGGATCAGGCGGGTTGCCTCTGGCTCTGGCAGACGGGCTGTGGTATCCTCTCCCCCTTCTGTGGGGTCTCTCGCAATCGCAGGCAAGCTTTCTCTGGCCGCCTCTTCCCTCCTGTGGGGTCTCTGTGAGGCTGGGGAGTAGACTTGCAGAGTCTAGTCAGAAAGGTCTCGCTGGAGCTTGAGATCCTTTGCTGACTGCACACCGGAATGAAAAACGGAGCTCCTAGCATCAGCCTCTTAAACTGCTGCAGGACGCTCCCTGGTCGCCTTGGCAACCGGGAGGGGGGGAGGTAATACTAGACCCCAGGGAGAATAATGCTGGTTACAGGGACATCCTGGGGGGCAGGGATGTTGACTGCAGAGATGAAAAGCAAGTTGGGAGATGTGCAGAGAGCTCCCAGCCAGCTGGCCGGGAGGGAGGGGACCCAGAGTAATTTGATTAGGCCATTGAATTAGGCCATTTGGCCTAGTGACACAGGGGACAATTGGAACAATACAGAGCAGGACTCTGAGGGCATGTGATACAAGGCATTAATAAGGGGATTAATAATTGGCAGGCTCCCATACCGTGACAGGGGGAATCCCTCTCTCTGTGCTGTTGTATTCTAACAGCGGGAGGTTTCCCCACCTCCAAAATACAATGATCACGGCTGGTGGTTATAGCTGCCATGTGATTGCATGTAAAAACCCGACAGGCTGGTTGTATTGAAGTCTCGATCGATCTAATTCAGTACAACCAGCCTGCCCATAGATGAATCAAAATTCTGGCGGATCCTGCTGAACTGGCCAAATTTCGATCCGTCTATGGCTGACCTTATTTAAATAAAATCACGTCCTAAATAAATATACAAATTCAACTCCCCACAGCACAATCAACACCTTCACCCCTGAAGATGTATAAATATTATTATACAGAAAATGCTACTAAATAGTTGAAAAACTCCTCAATATCATACTACAAGTGCAGTCCAATCCCTAATAAGTCCACAAAATATAAACCATAGCCTCCTTGTGTAATCACGGTGAAAAATTAGTGTCCAAAAGAAGTGTAAATCCTTCCAACGATTTCCACGATAAATGTTCCCTCAAAAAAAGAAAAACATCACATAGTGCATTATCTTTTAAACTACATAGAAACACGTGACATCACTCAAGTGAATAACCCATCAAAATTATTTGCAGTGCAAATAGTGAAAAATAGTGAAAAAACTGTGAATCAAACGGTGAAACTACACTGTGTGTGTGAATCACTCTTCAGTGCCCCCACACAAGCCAACGCTGTGTACACTTCTATTTATAGTAAGGAGTAGGTACCCTTACCAACAATCCAAAACAATGACGCTTATAATATACCGTATTTTTCGCTCCATAAGACGCACCTGACCATAAGACACACCTAGGTTTTAGAGGCTGAAAACAGGAAAAAAAATATTCTGAACTAATGGACTGCAGACATAGTACAGGAGATGACCAGAGACTGCGGACAGTACAGGGATGACCAGAGACTGCGGACATAGTACAGGAGATGACCAGAGACTGCGGAAATAGTACAGGAGATGACCAGAGACTGCGGAAATAGTACAGGAGATTACCAGAGACTGCGAACATAGTACAGGAGATGACCAGAGACTGCGAACACAGTACAGGAGATGACCAGAGACTGCGGACACAGTACAGGAGGTGACCAGAGACTGCGGACACAGTACAGGAGGTGACCAGAGACTGCGGACACAGTACAGGAGGTGACCAGAGACTGCGGACACAGTACAGGAGGTGACCAGAGACTGCGGACACAGTACAGGAGGTGAGCAGAGACTGCGGACACAGTACAGGAGATGACCAGAGACTGCGGACACAGTACAGGAGATGACTGCTGACCTTTGGGGAGGGAGGGGGAGCGGGTACCTGAATTTGACAGGTACCCGCTCTTACTTCCGCAGAGTTGTTCTTTGACCTTACCTGTTCCTCTATCCAGCGGCGCGCTTTCTTCCCGGCTTCTGTAGTGTGGGCGGTCGGCTTCACAGCCGGGTGCCCAGTTCACATGAGCGAGAAGCGCTGCGCGTTGTGATTGGTCTGGCGGCTTCTGGGATCTGTCATGTGTCCCAGGTGCCGCCTTACTATTCACAAAGAGCACCACTTCTTGCGCATGCGCACTTGGCACCCGGCTGTCAAGCCCAGCGCCCACACTACAGAAGCCGGGAAGACAGCGCCGCTGGATAGAGGAACAGGTAAGGTCCCGCTGCAGAGCTGAGCGGCCGGCCCGGTGTTCTGACACGGCGGCGGTGGAAATACCGGACCGGCCTGGATTCATCAGCCATAGTACTCCATGTATCCCCATACACCTTGCGCCATATAGATGTACATATATGAGGGACAATACTAGTGTAATACCACCAAGATAGATGCAATAATAAACTTTAATTCAAAATGCTCACATTATTTTAGCCTTTAAAAAACCGCTTTAAATACAACAAAGTAACCTTTCTGCCATCCAGGAATAGGTTTTCCTATTCTAAAAACTCCATGTAGTTTGATCACTTCTATATCTGATCTGTCCATTATGGAGTTTAAGATTTTACTTACTACTTCTTGCAATACTTCTCCCTTTGAAATCTCTGGGACCCCTCGTATCCTAAGATTACTCCTCCTGTCCCTGTTTTCCTGTACCTCTACCTTATAAAGCAACTTTTTCTGGACTTTCCCCATGTTGGTTATCTTCTTTTCTAATTCGGAAATGTTTTGTGCCTGATCTTTAACTTGCTCCTCCATTTCTTCCACTCTCATTCACAGCTGGCCCAAATCATTCCGAATAGTTGCCATTTCTTGCTTTGTTTTCTCTAATTCTTTGAACATTTCTGCCATCTTTTTTATTCGGTACTTGTAGATCTCTTTCATCTCCATATTTCCTGATATTTGTTGAGTGCTAACATTCAAACCTAACGATAGTCTAGGACTATTTTCCAGACTGAGATCCACTTCTCCTTTGTCATTTATGCCTTGGGACCTTTCTGGGGTCACATTTCCCTGGGAAAGTATATTTTTTAATTGTGCCGGTTTGGGACCCTTTAAGCCCACTTCCTTTAGCACTTTTGTTCTTCATATCTTCTGTGGGTCTTATTCTCCTTTATAAACTCGGGGTAAGTAAAGGTCAAATATATATACTCGGGTCTCAGCCTTGCCTGGTTATTTGTCCCTTAGCTTTCCTTTCTATGTCACTTATGCAGGCCATAGACGGGTCGAAAATCGGCCGATTTTTCGGCCGAAAATAAAATCGACCGATTTTCGGATCGTTAGTGGGCGATTTGGTCGGCCGTTTTTCGGTATTTTGGCCGTTTTTGTTTTTTTTCGGTAAAGTTGGAAAAAAATCGGCCGATTTTGCCGATCGGCCGATTTTCGCGGCAATTAGTGGGCAAATCGGCCGATTTTTTACCGATAAAAAATCTGCGCATGAGCAGTGACCTGCAAGAGGAAGACAAAAAGAAGAAAAAGAAGAAGAGGATGAAGAAGAAGAAGAGGAAGAAGAAGAAGAGGAAGAAGAGGATGAAGAAGAAGAGGATGAGGATGAAGAAGAGGATGAAGAAGAGGATGAGGAAGAAGAGGATGAGGAAGAAGAGGATGAGGAAGAAGAGGATGAGGAAGAAGAGGATGAGGAAGAAGAGGATGAGGAAGAAGAGGATGAGGAAGAAGAGGATGAGGAAGAAGAGGATGAGGAAGAAGAGGATGAGGAAGAAGAGGATGAGGAAGAAGAGGATGAGGAAGAAGAGGATGAGGAAGAAGAAGAAGAGGATGAGGAAGAAGAAGAAGAGGATGAGGAAAGAAGAGGATGAGGATGAGGAAGAAGAGGATGAGGAAGAAGAAGAAGAGGAAGAAGAAGAAGAGGAAGAGGATGAAGAGGAAGAGGATGAAGAAGAGGATGAAGAAGAGGATGAGGATGATGAAGAAGAAGAAGAAGTAGGATGAAAATAAGAAGAATTCCAGTCCAGCAAAAAGTGTCTCTGCAGAGAGCTCCGCTATTTCTGACAGTTCTCTGACAGTTCCTTGACATTTACAGCGGTTGAAACATTGTATCTATTTGTTTCCGAATAAAAACATCTGTATCCTAAATGGAAACAAATAGATACATTGTTGCAACTTCTATAAATGTCAAGGAACTGTCAGAGAACTGTCAAAGAAATAGCAGAGCTCTCTGCAGGGACACTTTTTGCCGGCTCTAGACGGGTAGAAAATCGGCCGATTTTTTTTTTTTACCATTGATGGTAACGTCGGCCACTTGAACAACCGATTTTTTGTTTTTTAAAAAGAAAAATCTGCAGTTTTTCTCCCCATCTATGGCCTGCATTAGTCTTCTTCTCCTTTCAGCTCCTTTGTATTCCCTTGCGCCATATAGATGTACATATATGAGGGATGTTTCCTGGATGGCAGAAAGGTTACTTTGTTGTATTTAAAGCGGTTTTAAAGGCTAAAAATAATGTGAGCATTTTGAAATAAAGTTTATTATTGCATCTATCTTGGTGGTATTACACTAATATTGTCCCTCATATATGTACATCTATATGGCGCAAGGTGTATGGGGATACATGGAGTACTATGGCTGATGAATCCAGGTAGTGCCGTGGAGACAGTGTTGCCTTGTGGAGATCTACAGGAGGGCCATTTCCCACCATTTCTTGGATTATATTAGAAGCGTCATTGTTTTGGATTGTTGGTAAGGGTACCTACTCCTTACTATTAATAGAAGTATACACAGTGTTGGCTTGTGTGGGGGCACTGAAAAGTGATTCACACACACAGTGTACTTTCACCCGTTTGATTCACAGTTTTTCTTTTCACTATTTGCACTGCAAATTATTTTGATGGGTTATTCACTTGAGTGATGTCACATGTTTCTATGTAGTTTAAAAGATAATGCACTATATGATGTTTTTTATCTTTTTTTGAGGGAAAATTTATCGTGGAAGTTGTTGGAAGGATTTATATTTCTTTTGATCACTAATTTTTCACCGTGATTACACAAGAAGGCTATGGTTTATATTTTGTGGGACTTATTAGGGATTGGACTGCACTTGTAGTATGATATTGAGGAGTTTTTCAACTATTTAGTAGCATTTTCTGTATAATAATATGGCTGACCTTACAGTGAGCCTGGTGGCTGAGTGATCAACACTATCTGAGGCCTAGGTTCATATCCCACATGACTGTTTGCAGGGAGTTTGTATGTTCTGCCTATGCCAGTAGGTAACCCCAGTAGGAGATGAGCAGTGTTCAGCCTGGTTCATTCTGTCATGACAAATAAAAACAACTGAGTACTGTCTGTGATACTTTTTTGTTTGCACCAACATTCACATTTTTCCAGATAAGCTTTCGAGGTGTACTCCCTCCTTCAAAGTCCAAGCAGTACAACGGACAGTATTTAAAGAAGAACACCATGAAAAAAATGTTTCTCCCATGCCAAGAGGCTGTACCCGCACTGAATGGGTTAATTGCTTATTTTGTCCAGGGGCACATTAATAGGCTATACTTGCCCGATCCTTCGGAAAACCGTGCTCCCCCATATCCAGGGGTGGGACAGTTCCTGTCTTCCTCATGTCCAGAGCTGGTCTATAGGCATGATGACATCAGGAACAGTCCATTCCCAGGACCGCTAGCATGACGGGAGGTGGGCAGGAGCAGCAGGGAACAGTTTTGGGTTTGGAAGATCAGTGGATTAAGTGAGTATATCTCTCTGCTCTGCAATTCAGTGCAGGTGCAGTATCCCCACTGCATGGGAAAATATCAGTTATACCCAGAGTTCTTCTTTAATTGTTAGTTGTTTGCATATGCACTAATATGGCTACAAACGCCTCACTTATGATAGATGCAATTTAAAATGCCAGTTCACCCTTTTCTGCATTTGCTTGCTCAAATTTAAAACTAGATGGCGCTGTATTGTGTTCAGAACTGTGCATAGGTCCCACATATACAGTGGGGATCGAACGTTTGGGCACCCCAGCTAAAAATTTGTATTAATGTGCATAAAGAAGCCAAGGAAAGATGGAAAAATCTCCAAAAGGCATCAAATTACAGATTAGACATTCTTATAATATGTCAACAAAAGTTCGATTTTATTTCCATCATTTACACTTTCAAAATAACAGAAAACAAAAAAATGGCGTCTGCAAAAATTTGGGCACCCTGCAGAATTTATAGCATGCACTGCCCCCTTTGCAAAGCTGAGACCTGCCAGTGTCATGGATTGTTCTCAATCATCGTCTGGGAAGACCAGGTGATGTCAAGCTCAAAGGTTTTAAATGCCCAGACTCATCTGACCTTGCCCCAACAATCAGCACCATGGGTTCTTCTAAGCAGTTGTCTAGAAAACTGAAACTGAAAATAGTTGACGCTCACAAAGCTGGAGAAAGCTATAAGAAGATAGCAAAGCGTTTTCAGATGTCAATATCCTCTGTTCGGAATGTAATTAAGAAATGGCAGTCATCAGGAACAGTGGAAGTTAAAGCAACACCTGGAAGACCAAGAAAAATATCAGACAGAACAGCTCGCAGGATTGTGAGAAAAACAATTCAAAACCCACGTTTGACTGCACGATCCCTCCAGAAAGATCTGGCAGACACTGGAGTTGTGGTACACTATTCCACTAGAAAGAGATACTTGTACAAATATGGTCTTCATGGAAGAGTCATCAGAAGAAAACCTCTTCTACGTCCTCACCACAAAAATCATCGTTTGAACTTTGCAAATGAACATATAGACAAGCCTGATGCATTTTGGAAACAAGTTCTGTGGACCGATGAGGTTAAAATTGAACTTTTTGGCCGGAATGAGCAAAGGTACGTTTGGAGAAGAAAGGGCACAGAATTTAATGAAAAGAACCTCTGTCCAACTGTTAAGCATGGGGTTGGATCAATCATGCTTTGGGGTTGTGTTGCAGCCAGTGGCACAGGGAACATCTCACGAGTAGAAGGAAAAATGGATTCAATAAAATTTCAGCAAATTTTGGATGGTAACTTGATGCCATCTGTGAAAAAGCTGAAGTTAAAGAGAGGATGGTTTCTACAAATGGATAATGATCCTAAACACACCTCGAAATCCACGGGGGATTACATCAAGAGGCGTAAACTGAAGGTTTTGCCATGGCCTTCACAATCTCCTGACCTCAACATAATTGAAAATCTATGGATAGACCTTAAAAGAGCCGTGCGTGACAGACAGCCCAGAAATCTCAAAGAACTGGAAGAAGACTTTTGTAAGGAAGAATGGGCAAAGATACCTCAAACAAGAATTGAAAGACTCTTGGCTGGCTACAAAAAGCGTTTACAAGCTGTGATACTTGCCAAAGGGGGCAGTACAAGATATTAACTCTGCAGGGTGCCCAAACTTTTGCAGACGCCATTTTTTTGTTTTCTGTTATTTTGAAAGTGTAAATGATGGAAATAAATTCTAACTTTTGTTGACATATTATAAGAATGTCTCATCTGTAATTTGATGCCTTTTGGAGATTTTTCCATGTTTCCTTGGCTTCTTTATGCACATTAATACAAATTTTTAGCTGGGGTGCCCAAACTTTCGATCCCCACTGTATATAGAGGCAGCGATGTGCTTGAAGATTTGTGCTGCCATTAGCCTGCTGTTGTTTTAAACTGGCTGGTTGCATATGACTGATATCAGCTGTCATTGTCTGACATTCAGGTGTAGTTCTAGTGCATTCTACAGTGTGGTGATACAGCTTTGCATAATCAAAGGTAATGAGGATTGTGTCACCCCAATCAAGGAAGTCTGTACTGGATGGATCAAAAGGATGCTTAGCGGCTTGCAGAGTATTAGATGATAAAATACTGTGCTAGCTGCTGCTAAGTGCCTCATTACATATTTACTTTTGGCCATAGATGCACTTTAAAGGATAACTGTGAAATGAGTACAGCCAGCCTTGTAAAATACCTTCTTTGTTCCAGCGATATTCATTGTGCTGGCTTTGCTTGGAAACATTCTTTTCTTTGCAAGTGCACGGCATCTCCATTTTATACTTATGGGTAAGCCGTCCTTCTAGTATCCTCTAGCTGTCCTATGGAGTATGGTGCATCCATATAAAGGAATAAAGCTGCTGCACGCATGCGCAGTAAGAAGGTGGGGACATTTCACTTTGCAAAGGCTGTACGGCTCTGAATGTGGCTGTATAGTTAGAATAATGCTGGAACTGTCAGGAAAATGGGTATTTTTCACGGCAGGTGGCACTATGGGGGCATTAACCTCCCTAGCGGTATGATTATGTCAGTATTTCTGTGCTCAAAGCGGTACATTTTTTTGCATGGAAATTTGTTGTTTTTTTATTGTAGGCCTGTATTTCTTAGGAATAACTCACTGAAATCTGTCCGAACAAGAGTCTAGTAAACATCCCGGGTATGATAAAACTTGAAACACGAAATCATAAATTCTAATAATCATAAAAAATAATATAATAATACATTTAATTCAATAATATAATCAAACCAAAATCACTGAAATTTGAAATATAGCGCCAAGTTCGCACATCACTGAGCTCAGTCGCAGAATCGTTTTCAGTGTCTGATGAGGAATTGCCCCCACGAATCATTATCACTCAATTCTGCAAGTGGTTCTGATTTACTATCGCTGTTCTCTAGCCGGTCTAAAACCGCTTTTCACCTAAAGGGACGCTTTTTGGACGCCATGGACGTTTCTCAGTTTCCAGGCAGAACAGTAAAAATGCAGGCAGGGCGCAGGACAAAGCACTCGGGACAAAATGTATGTGAAATGGTTTGATACAGGAATGTTATTCTATGTGATTTTAGTGTATTGAGTGAATGTCACTTTTAAAATTTTTTAATTTCCTGCCGGTTCCGTCCCCCCGTACGTCTTGACGGAAGACGGATGCCGGCATTGGCCGTAAGAGATGGCTGGGGACGCTGCAGGGGGGACATCGCAGGAGCGAAGGACAAGGTAAGTGCAAGAGGGATCCCGGAGCAACGCTGCAGGGTATTCCCGAGTGTAGCTCGGGGTTACCACTTGTGGTGCTGAAAGTTTACCCCGAGCTACACTCAGGATTACCTCCAGGGAGGTTAATGAAAGGACTTTACTTACTGTACACTTGTCTAAAAGTTCGATTTATTAGTGATGTTCCATAACAGCGAATTATAACCTTCATTTTGTGCAGCCATCGGAAGCTAATTGGTTGTCCCGGGCAGAATAGTTTTGCCATCTGAATTCCTGTGTGTTTTACCCTTCCAGTGGAGGTGTATTGGAGGTGTGGGTCACAGCTTCATATGTATTTTTCTGGCTATTTCAGGTCCCGGCTGTTCAGTCCCAGTTCCGGCCAACCAGTCGTTCTGGACCCGAGAAGAGTTCTCTGTCCCACAGCTGGCCCGAGCATCTCACAAGGCCGTGGTGCTGGATGATGTCATGTGGATTGTGGGCGGCTACATGTTCAACCATTCCAATTACCAGATGGTTATGGCGTGAGAACCATATTTGTTTCTATATTGTGTTGCAAGTACATCCAGGAAGTATAGTTATTTTAAAGGGCTGCCAGACACATAACTGGAAAATAGAATTACTGTCAGTCTTCTCGAAGGAGACGTCCCTTTATATTTTATTATAGTATTAGATTATATTTTATCTCGGTTCAACTGTGGCTGCATTTCTTCAGGACAGTGGGCAGGACCTAGAAGTTGTGCTTTGTGTCACAGGAAGGCTGTTCATAATGAAGCCTTGTAGTAGATCAGCTTCTCTGAATTCAACGTTTGGTTGCTTATATAGAGCAGAACGTCCCACTTTAAAGCGGAGTTCCACCTGAGAAAAAAAAGTCAGCAGCTACAAAAACTTCTCTCCCCGGTGCCGGCATCTGCAGTGTGCGCACCCGGCTGTGACAGCTTGTGGCTTCACAGCAGGGTGCCCATTGTGCATGCACGAGAAGCGCTGCACTTTGTGAATGTCCCTGTAGTCTTCTGGGACCTGTCACGTGTCCCAGAAGACTACGGGGGGCCCCTACTACGGGGGGACACGACAACTTCCGCTTCCGATCGCCTAGGCGATCACAGCTGAAGTGGGGGCGGGTTTTAGTGGTGAGATTTTAATATTTCATGAACTCGTTCATTCTACTGAAAGTTTATATATTTCTGCCTGGAGTTTTACTTAAAACTTAAAGAAACAGTCGTGACTCATTGGCACTAATGTGAACATTCATTAAAATTAGCCAAGTTTTTGAAAGGCTTCTGTGCTTCTTTTAGCTTTAGTAACTTGCAAATATCACACAATGTCTCCCAACTTCTTTGCACGCATTGCATGTACTCAGTTACAGGTGATCTCTGACCCCTGATTCCTAAGAATCAGACTAGAGTAAGTTAATGTAAAGATAACCTGGAAGCCATAATCCTGCAAAAATGTATTCAATGTACCGGCAATAATAAACAATGTAGTACATTTTTTCATTGAAGCCTACAGAGCTTTGCAATTGTGATCAATGCGTTGCAAGTACATTCCATAGTCTCCCACAGACTGTTCCTGCTGTTATGGGGCTGGAGGAGTAAACCATAGACTACAATGGTGGCCATGCCACCACATTTGGGTTGCATTGAGATCTAGAAGTCCATCGAGACAAAATTGAATCCTGCGTTTACAATTCTGGGAGTTGCAGATCCACAGCAGCAGGAGCCATATTTTGCTTAGACATGGTATGAACCCACGTGTAGATTCAGGGTACATTCTGTGCAAACATATTTATTTATAGCTTTTTGAGCTTTTAAAGCTGAACTCCAGATTTACTTAAACTTTACGTAGTTTGCTCCAAGCTGGCCCAAGCAAGCTTTATTTACTGATTGGTGGCTGTCAGTGCTGTATTATCTTGTATGTAGCATAAGCATGTATACAGAGCTGTGGTCTGCCAGTGGTACGCAGTCTTCTCTTCTGCTGCTGGAACAAAATTTAGTTGGGATGAGTGCTTCTCAGCCATTTGCAGGAAGCCTTTTTTTTTTTTTTTTTTAGAATGAACGCAAGGCTTTCTATGATTGGCCAAGGTGGAAGGATAATGTTACAATTTCTACCTCAACCATTCAAAGGAAGCCTTGCATTCATTAAAATGATAGTTTTTCCTCCTCCTTCTCTATGTGCCACTATAAGAAACCGCTTCCTATGGTGGCACACGTGTGGGCTTCATCCTGAGCTCAGCACCACTCCATCCTCACAGGATTTGATTGACAGCAGCCTTTACAATCGCTTTAAGAAAAATACAAAGCTTCTGTGAATGGCACTTGGCCCTATTTTTTATTTTTTTTATGAATTAACGCATGGCTTCCTCTTGTTGGCTGAAGTGGAGATTGCGATGTTGTCCTCCCAGCTCCTTATCTTGGCCTACCAGAGGAAGCCTTGCATTCATTGATACAAAAAATGTGAATGGATGTGAAGTGCTTAGCCTAACTTGATTTTGTTCCAGCAGCAGACAGGACGTCCCTGTCTCTACCACTGCTGGAACGCCATGCTTGTATACTGTATGTACCTAATGCTGCATATAGTTAGCGCTGACAGTGGTTGCATCAATTAGTAAAGGAAATTGTTCATTTCGGTCAGCTTGGCCCAAACAAACGATTTTAAAGTGAAAGTAAGCCTGGGGTCCGGCTTTAATGTAATACTCGAAAGATCTAAGGAGTGTCTCCACCTCGACTTCTGCTGATGATGCAGATAAAGTGTCTGATATGCTGTAGGCAGTCTATCTGTGTGACTCTGTGGTTCAGCAGTAACTGGTTTGTGTTTTGTACAGGTATGACCTCGTCTCGCATGACTGGCTTCCTCTAAACAACTCGGTCAACTCCATTATAGTGAGATATGGACATTCTCTTGCAGTATATGAGGTACAGTCTCAGACCTTTATATATTCTGTAAGCCTGGGTTCACACTGATGCGGTGCGGAATTTGCACTGGTTTCTGTGCGAATTCCGGATCACAATCGTACTCCGTTCATGCGAACCGCTGCTGGTGTGTATGTTAATTTAACAACACCCCAAAATCGGTTAGGTGCGGTGTGCAGAATCGGATCGCATAGGTGTGAATACCCATGTGATTCGATTCTAGTGCGGACCAAAAAAAAAGAATCCTGCATCTTTTTGGCGCATATGCGGTGCGATTTGAGCCATACAACATGTATGGCTCCATTTACACCGCACAGAATTCGCATGTGATTTGCAGAGGAATGCGGTGCTGTTCCTGTGCGAATCACATGCGATATACTGCACTGCATCTGTATAAACCTGGGCTAAAGATAATGGCTAGAAATAGAATTTGCATGATATTTTGAGGATGGAGGGTTGTGTAATGGAGTACGTGTGAGTCATTTAACCACTTTGGTTACTTAAAATGTCTTATAACACAAAATATTCTCACAGGTTGTAGAATATCCCACCAACCAAATCTTTTTCTTTTCTTTGTAGGACAAGTTGTACATGTATGGTGGTAAGATAGATACCACAGGGAACGTCACCAACCAGCTCTGGGTGTTTCATGTCTATAATGAGTCGTGGGTTCAGCTGCTTCCGAATGTCAAGGAACAGTACGCTGTGGTCGGCCATTCTGCTCACATAGTAAAACCAAATGGCGGTGCTCGTGTCATGCTGGTGTTCTTTGGCCACTGTCCCATGTATGGCTACATCAGCAGTATTCAGCAATACAACCTTGGTAGGTGGTCACAGGGGTCTTTTGTTCATGGAAGCAGGGACTGATGAAAAACCCCCAGCTTGGCTTTTTACAGCCCAATTGAAGCTTCAGTGAATATGCATTATAGAAATTCAGTGTACAGTTAGTGATGAGTTCTTAGTGTAAAGCAGCCACAATGAGAGTAGAAAATCCTGTACTATGCTGCAGGTAAGGACTGCTTTCTGTTTGCAACCAGGGGTCTCTCTGCAGTGTGGTAGATATAGTGAATGCAGGGTCCGGGGAGACCGGATATAGTGAATGCAGGGTCCGGAGAGACCGGATATAGTGAATGCGGGGTCCGGGGAGACCGGATATAGTGAATGCGGGGTCCGGGGAGACCGGATATAGTGAATGCGGGGTCCGGGGAGACCGGCTATAGTGAATGCTGGGTCCGGGGAGACTGGATAGAGTGAATGCAGGGTCTGGGGAGACTGGATAGAGTGAATGCAGGGTCCGGGGAGACTGGATAGAGTGAATGCAGGGTCCGGGGAGACTGGATAGAGTGAATGCAGGGTCCGGGGAGACTGGATAGAGTGAATGCAGGGTCCGGGGAGAGCGGATATAGTGAATGCAGGGTCCGGGGAGACTGGATAGAGTGAATGCAGGGTCCGGGGAGACTGGATAGAGTGAATGCAGGGTCCGGGGAGACTGGATAGAGTGAATGCAGGGTCCGGGGAGACTGGATAGAGTGAATGCAGGGTCCGGGGAGACTGGATAGAGTGAATGCAGGGTCCGGGGAGACTGGATAGAGTGAATGCAGGGTCCGGGGAGACTGGATAGAGTGAATGCAGGGTCCGGGGAGACTGGATAGAGTGAATGCAGGGTCCGGGGAGACTGGATAGAGTGAATGCAGGGTCCGGGGAGACTGGATAGAGTGAATGCAGGGTCCGGGGAGACTGGATAGAGTGAATGCAGGGTCCGGGGAGACTGGATAGAGTGAATGCAGGGTCCGGGGAGACTGGATAGAGTGAATGCAGGGTCCGGGGAGACCGGATAGAGTGAATGCAGGGTCCGGGGAGACCGGATAGAGTGAATGCAGGGTCCGGGGAGACCGGATAGAGTGAATGCAGGGTCCGGGGAGACCGGATAGAGTGAATGCAGGGTCCGGGGAGACCGGATAGAGTGAATGCAGGGTCCAGGGAAGACCGGATAGAGTGAATGCAGGGTCCGGGGTTTAGTAACACTTTTATTTTTTTTATTTTTTTTTGAAAAGGTGAACTAACCCTTTAATCTAAAACTTCCAGGTATGTTAAACTTTTAAAAAAGAGAGTAGGAATTGCAAGGTGTCTGCCATTATGTCAGAAAAGCATCATCTTCGCTCCCTTCTAATCCTGGGTTCACTTTGTTATGAAGGATGTGACTATTCCTGACTTTTGAGGTAAGCCCCTGCCGTGCAGGCGGAGGTCTGCCTACTCCACAAGCCCTTGCCCCTATTTTGTCTATTCAGGTGCTTTTGTTGCACTTGGGGAAGCAGATGGATGGGGCTCAGCTCTGGGGCAATGCCTGGTACCAAGGTCAGACCAATCACTTCTGCTGTTCAATTGTGCAGGGTCTAGTCTTCACCTTGGATACACCCCTCCTGTAGTTTCCTGCAGGCAGCCTGTAGTGGGTGGGGCTTGCTGAGCCCCTCCCACAGCTCTACTCTTTGACCAGGCTATGTGCAGCACAGCGTTGTCACCACTACTTTTGCAAAAAAAAAAAATCAAGGTTTGCAAAGGCTTTTGGTGCACACAAAGTGGGTTTATATCCTTTGTGGTTATTAAAGATTATAGTAAGATGAAATATATTTGTGCGTAGAGTTCAGCTTTAGATCTGGTAATTCTTGTCTTAACTGTAAGTGTTTGAATGAATCTGCTTGTGTTGCTACACGGTGACCAATCAGATAATCAGATTTTTTCTTTTTGTGTTTTGTATAGGTTGGAATTTTTTGCCTATTTTGCAACATGGGCAAATTAAGGCAATTTTGATGAATGCTGTTTTCTGATTAAAAAATTTGAATTTCTCTTTGATGTTTATACTGACTGGTTTATGCGGTTTAAGGCTCACATGACATGCTATAAATATTGCTTCACTGAAAAATGGGCTTGGTTCTGCCGTTTCCCAGAATCCGTCCCCTGTAAATGGGATTCCGAGAACTGTCAGTTCCTGCTACAGAAATTCAGATTTAATCGGGAATGCTGACATGATTCATTACTTGTTGCAAGCACATTATGACCTGCCGATTTCTCTAGTCTGTTGACAAAGAACAGGAAATGGCAAAGCTGTCATTCTGTTCATTTTTTATAAATATAGTTAGCTTGAAATAGCTGAAAAAAGCAGCATAACTTTGTAGAATAGCGGCATTACATTCTATCAGGGGGCTGTTGGAGGGGTACAGGGGCTGCTTCGAGCTTCTTAGTAATTTTCAGCATTTCTCTTTTAGGAATCCATAAACATCTGAGGCAGGAGCTCCGTTTTTACAGCGTTTCTCAGCAGCCCTGACATGCTTTTTGCATGCACAGAAGACTGCTGATTGTGTCGTTTTCTACTATGGTGGAAGTACCAAATTTAGCACCTGACCACAAATGTTAAAAGCTGAACTCCATTGATGTTTTTGGCCAGCCATCGAATGTTTGTTGTTCTGAAGTGCATCAGTAATCTCTTCTCTAGATTAAATTTAAAGTGTTAGTTCACCTTTACATAAAATCTGTAAAGGTGACCTAACACTGGGCTCTGGCCCCCGCTGTACTTGCCTTCCACTGTCCTGAGCTGTCGGTGCTCCTTCAATCCCCTCCGTCAGTCCAGGGATTTGAAATTCTTTCTGCTTCTTCTCCTGTTTCTCCAACACTGCCAGGACGGACCAGATGGATTCTAATTGGTCAGCACCTCAACATGGACAGAATCAGAATCTGTCTGGTCCATCCTTAACCCCTTCATGCCTAAGGGTAAAACAAATCTTAATGCCTAAGCACAATTTTGCAATGTTGACGTGTTAGTAAAACTGTACATATCATCACAACTACTTTGTACATCCAGGTGAATTATACCGGGTTTTTTTCAGGACAAATTGGGCTTTCATTTGGTGGTAAATGGTAATGGATTTTTTTTTTATTATCCAAGGAAAACTGGCCCAAAATAGCAAAAAAAAAAAAATTTTTTATTTAGCTGTGTGTTTCTTGTTACTACCATAACCTACCACCAAAGAACAACCCAAAATAAATTTTCCAGCTCTTGACGATTGCAGTGATACCATATATGTGTGTTTGTGCCCGTAGTACAGCCCAGAAACAATACTGCGCATTTTGTTTACCTAAAACACACTGACACTAACTGACAGTAATACCAATTTAAAAAAAAACACAAAATAAAATCCTGATCTTTGACTTTGACCGATGACCCTAACACTTACCCTGACACTGAACTAGACACTGTTTTTACACTGAACTAGATCAAACCTTGATCTAGGTATTTTTATTTTTTTAATATTTGTTAATTTATTAGACAAACACTTTTTTTTTTTTTTCCCCTCTATGCCAGGAGTTAGAGAAGTACAATGTATCTCTCTCCTCCATAGAGAGAGAAAACAAAAACAAGGGGGCCGTGCTGTACAGTGACTGATCACTGTGATAGCCAATCAGAGGCTATGAGCGATCATGTGACCCGGAATCGGGAGTCCCAGGTCCCGATCATTAGAACGGGACCCAGGGCTCTCAGTGGCACCCCGGTCTTTGTGCTGGGAGTGCACTGTGCAGCGCGCTCCCAGCACAAAGACAGGTACTCAAAAATGTGGCCCCACAGGGAAAAGCCCAGTTCTGTGAGGCCGCATATTTGTGTGACGTCGGCGTCAAGGGGTTAAAGTGTTGAATGGAGAGGATATAAAGCAGTGGAGGTTTTGACTCCCTGGGCCTTTGGAGGGGGAGGGGTGTTGGGATGAGGGGGTCTGTGTTAGGTCACCTTTACAGATTTTGTGTAAAGATGAGCTAACCCTTTCTGGACTGGCTCACACCACATGCAGTCCAGTGCATTTTGTTTCTGCATCAAAACACATGGTTAGTAGGTTTTATGGTTTCCAATGGCATAGCTCACACCAGTCAGTCAGTACATGTGTGTTCCAGAAAAAAAATAGCAGAACATGCTGCATTTTTTTCTGCACTAAACTATACTGGGACGCGGTGAAATGCCTTAACCTCTTCACGCGTGCCGCACACAAATGTGCGGCCTCCCGGCGTCTGGGCCTAGACGCCACGCTGGCGCACATTTGCGTTCTATTAAAAAAGGACGTGCCGGGAGTGCGCTCACAGCACACATGTCCGATACTCACGGAAAGGTCCCGATCTCCTCTTTCGATTGGGACCTTCCCCGATCAGGTGACCGCCGTGACGGCGCGTCATGGCAGTCACATGACCCTAAACCCGCCTCGCCTCCTGGCTTCTGGAACCCTTAAAGGGCCAGGAGGTGCCGGCGTGAAGAGGTTAAACACACTAGAATGCACCAAAAATGCACTGGAACACACGTCCTTATTAAGGGCCAGTTCACACCACAAAAATGCACTGCAGATGCGATCCAGATGCGTTTTTGCTTACAGTTCACACCACACTCCATTCCTGTGCATTTTTGTTGAGTTTTTCTGTGTTCCAGTACAGTTGTGTAGAAAAAATGCAGCGTATTCTACTTTTTTTTTCCTGCACCTGAAACTAACTGCACTAGGGCTGTTGGAATACATGGAAAACACTGTGCATGTGTTTTTGATGCAGAAAAAAACGCACTGGACTGCATATGATCTGATCCAGGAATGCATCAAAGACGCACTGGAACGTGTCAAAAGCGCGCATGCAGAAATGCAAGCGGAATGCATCTGGACTATGTTTCTATGGTGTGAACTGGCCCTAAAGCCCAGCCGAACTTTCAGTTTGAATCCGCTAAATACGTCCCAGGTTCATCAAAACAAAATGGGTGCAAAGTGTCAGTTTGTTTCCTTTAGAAAGCAGCCTCAGTCTGAGTAGAGAAGCCTGCCCTCTGCCATAATGTTGAAGAGAAGAACCCTTTCTCTATGTGTAGAAACAGTGGTCTCTCTGCCGAGGTCCAACATGCCCCCTGTTTAATCAGAGAGAGTGCTATTCAAACAGTAAGGAGCATGATATTTGCTAATAGTAAGCTATGATTCTGACTCAGAAGGAGGTGTATCAGAGATCGATATTATGGCAGAGGGGCAGGCTTTGACTGCTCATCTTTTGTTTTGTTGCTCCTGCAAATGTATTTGCCCGATTTAAACTGAAAGTTCATTTGAGCTTTAAAGTTAACCACTTAAGCGCTGGAAGATTTGACCCTCTTTAAGCCATTTTTTTTGCTTTGTGGTACAGCACTATTTAACTGGTAATTGCATGGTCATACAATGCTGCACCCAAATGAAATTTATATAATTTTATTCCCTACAAATAGAGCTTTTATTTGTTGATATTTGATCAAAATTTTTTTTTTAATTATATAAAATGAGACAGAAAACAAAAATTTGGGGAAAAACTATATTTTTTACTTTCTGCTATAAAACATATCCAATAAATGTTTTTTTTTTAAAAAAAATCAAATTTTTCATACATTTAGGCCAAAATGTATTCTGCTACATGTCTTTAATAAAAAAAAAAATCCCTATAAGCATATATTGTTTTGCATGAAAGTTATAGCGTCTAAAAACTATGGAATACATACTGGAATTTTTATTTATTTTATACTGGTGGTGGCTGTGATCAGCGATGTATAGCGGGACTGTGATAGTGCGTCTGGCAATCAGACACTATCTGATGCTGGGGGGGAACTGATTAAATCTGACATCTCTAGTGACACTAGTACAATGATCAGTGCTAATAAAATACACTGTCACTGCCTGGGAAGGGTTTAACATTTAGGGGCAATCCAGGGGTTAACTGCCTAACAATGTGTAATATGATTGTGTGGTGTTTTCACTGATACCCTGCACATTGCTGCTGTCACAGTAGAGAGCTCTGTGTTGTTTAACACAGGGTTCCCTCCTGTCATTCGCTCTGCTGATCAGCGGATCCCGGCCATAAATTATTGGAACAGGAAGAAGGGTCAGACACACCGGAGGATAGATGAATATAGTGTGTATTTATTAATCCATAGGACACAGAAAACACCAGGACATGAATACAGGAGTTGTTAACGCGTTTCACACGATCTCGCGCTTAATCATAACCTTTTTTTTTTATGGTTATGATTGGTTATGATTAAGCGCGGGATCATGTGACACACATTAACAAGCCCTGTATTTATGTCCTGGTGTTTTGTGTGCCCTATGGATCAATAAATACACACTATATTCATCTATCGTCCGGTGTGCGGCTGACCCTTCTTCCTGTTGCATCGTATGTGGTGGCGAGCCAGAGCCTGCACGTGTTGTGGATTGATCTGGATTGTTTGTCTGAGCGGTATACCTTTGTTCTTTGCATAAATCATTGGCCAAGGACCCACTGATTGACATGTTCTGGAGCGAATGGCAGCACAGCCGGGGCAGCGGGTGCACATACCCTACCCGGAAGAGCTGGATCATGTACATGGGGGACCTTCATGTGGCCGTTGTATTTTTACTGTGGGCCAATCAGCAACTGGTTAGTGTAGAGAAATTATTTCTAATGCACAATGGGTGGAATTTATCAAAACTGAAGCAGCTGTGCATAGTAACCAATCAGCTTATATCTTCAGCTTGTTCTGTTAAGCTTTGAAAATGTAAGTTACACTGATTGCCACACACAACGGTCAGACTTGATGGGGAATCCCTCCCGCAACGTTGTGTTTTTACTGGCGGGAAACATTCCCTGCTGGCAGAACACAACGATCGGCAGTGATTGCATGAAGAAAACCCAGCAGCCTTCCCATAGATCGGTCAAACCTCAGCCAGTCCCTATTGAACCTGCCCAGATTTGATCCATCTATGGCCTGCTTAAGCTTCAGACCAGCAAACATTCAGGGAACAGGCATTGTTGCAACAATAAGTTGTAAAGGTCTTGAGCGTGCTATTTGCTTTTACCTGTCATGAGATTTTTCTTGTGTGACGCGTTGGTAATGAGACATCTTTTTATAGGCCATCAGTTGAGACTGAACCAGCTGATATTAATTTGCACTGACAAGGGGCGGGATTGCTTTCTAATTACTGATAGATTTCAGCTGGTGTGTTGGTTTTCCATGCCTTTTTGCACCTCCCCTTTCTTCGTGTGTTCAATACTTTTTCCCTATGTCATTCCATTTTATTACACATAACTCAATTTCTGAACTTATTTGTTTTGCTTTCTTTGTATGCATGGATTGCATTGGTTGTTAAAGACATGTGGTGAAAATTTCACTTTTAGAAATATATTTACTGAGAAAAATGGTGACGTGTTCAATACTTATTTTTACCCGCTGTGTGTGTGTATCAGTATTGGAACACCCCTCCAAATCATTGGATTCAGGTGTTCAAATCACCTCCATGGCCACAGGTGTATAAAACAAAGCACCTAGGCATGCAGACTGCTTCTACAAACATTTGTGAAAGAATGGGTCTCTCTCAGGAGCTCAGTGCCTGACCTCACAAATGTGCTTCTGGAAGAATGGTCAAACCTTCCCATAGACACCCTCCTAATCCTTGTGGACGGCCTTCCCAGAAGAGGTGAAGCTGTTATAGCTGCAAAGGACGGGGCCAACTCAATATTGAACCCTACGGACTAAGACTAGGGTACAATTAAGGTTCATGTGCGTGTAAAGGCAGGCCGACCAATACTTTTGGAAATATAGCGTATCTACCCATACATGTATATGCATTTTCCTTCTAAGCTGTCAGGATGCAATGTGTAAGCCCGTGTCTCTCTTTCCCCCAGACTCGAACACCTGGGACATTGTGGCGACTCGGGGTGCTCTAGTCCAAGGAGGGTATGGTCACAGCAGTGTTTATGATGAAACCACCAGATCCATCTACATCCATGGGGGCTATAAAGCCTTTACTGCCAACAAGTACCGACTGGCTGATGACTTGTACAAGTATGACGTGGACACCAGTATGTGGTAGGTGTATAACCTTACTCCAGGTATGGCCTGTGAACCTTCATTCCTGGAAAGTACTTTTGGCAGCAGCTATTTGGCAATATATGAAGGAAACAAAGGGTCATGCCATTGTGAGAGGATGCTGCTGAATTCATCACTACTGCTCTCCTAAGGGTTTGAAAACTCGGTTCAATTTAAAGCAGACATAGACTGCCGAAATTGTGGCCATCCAGCCCACACAAGAATTTTATTCTCCCATCCGAGTTAACAGCGGCTCTTGTTGCTGCTGACTATGTAAGTGGCCGATAATGCTACATTAGAAATGTTTGATTCTTGCAGGGTCACTCATGGCTCAAATTTTCGCTGATTCAGAAGGAATCAGATGAAATTCAGGCAATCAATGAGGGCCTGTAGTTTTTTCTCCAACTACTGTTTTCATTCACTCTTTTGCTTGTGTGATTTGTCAAATTGTGCTGCATTTTTGTTTACATGCAGAGTTTTCAAGACATGCAGAGTGTAGCTTACAGCAGCCTGAAGAGAGAATCAGGCATGCATTGACATACAAATATGCTCAGCTTTTTGTGTGTATTTAGACACAGTAGTTTAAAGGGTCATTTGACCCAAAGCCCATGTTCCACGTTTGGCTTGTTCTGGAGCATTAAACCATCTTCATTTTTTTTCATTTTTATTTTTCTCAGGTACTCTATTGATGAAATCTCTGCACTGAGTTCCTCCACACCTGCCATGTCCTTTATGGGGGTTCAAATTCCCCCCTCCCTTTTTTTTTTTTTTGTAATATATTCTAAAGAATGTCAGAGAGGGCAGCAGCACTAAGACATAAAGAGTTGCCGATCAGTCTAGTGAAGCGGTACTTCCCAGAATAAAGTATTTGCAAAGATGGGATTTGCAGCTTCACAGTTTTTGCATGTAAACAGTGAGGGAAAACTGAGGTAGTGGGGCACAGGAGCTCACAGCGGTTTCATAGACCTGTAACTCTGCAATTTAACACTGCATGTCAGTAAAGTATCACAATTGGGTGGACTGTCTCTTCAAGCGTTTCATTGATTAGTGAAAGCATTTTCTAAGGTCCAATTCTGTTTCCTTAAAGCAGTTAAACCCTTATACCCAGTTAATTGACTGGCCTCAGGTGATACACAGAGATTAAACAAATTCTCTTACACAAGTTTTACCTGTTTATCTGCGACCCACAAAGCAGGGGGTAGGGAGATTCTGTGGCACACTGCGTAAGAGTTATGAGAGCTGTTTGGAGAGAGAGGACCCTCCGCCCCCTTTTCTCACAGCACACAGAAACAGAGCTAAGGCTGGCAATCACAGGCTGTGTGCTGGAGCTCCCTCCTCTATAACCACCTTACCTCCTGGTGTCAGGAAAACATGTCAGAAGTGACTCATGCTGATAACAGAGGAACTAGACAACAGACAGAAATGACACTTAGCTTGGAGATAGGGAAGTAAACACTATAGAAATATGTGCTTTGTTCATATTTAATGTCTGAGGTTTATAACCACTTTAATATTAGGTTTATAAGTCCAGCCGTGATTTAAAAATAACAGAGCATTTGGGAAGCACCATATGTTTTCAGGAATACAATTTCGGCATTTTGCTTTAAGTCGGTTGAAGAATTGAATGAATGCATGCGGAGACCAGTGTTTCACATTTGCAGATCCCATTAACAGGGCCATTTCGGTGCTCACTTTGCAGCAGGTCATGATTTTGCAGTTTAAGCCTTAACATTTCTTGTCATTTTCTCTTGTGTCTAGGAAAATCTTAAAAGACAGCAAATATTTCCGCTACCTGCACACGGCGGTGATCATTAGCGGCACCATGCTGGTGTTTGGCGGGAACACCCACAATGACACGTCAATGAGCCAGGGGGCGAAGTGTTTTTCTGCTGACTTTATGGCGTATGACATCGGTGAGATTTCTATTCTGACAAAAAGCCATTTGTTAATTGGTTCCCTGATAACGGTCTAATAGATATAGACCCCATGGGGTTTATTTACTAAAGCTGGTTCACTCAAAATCTAGTGCAGCTATGCATGGTAGCCAATTAGCTTCTAACCTCAGCTTGTTCAAGTAAGCTTTAGCTATAGAACCTGTAAGCTGATTGGTTTCTATGCAGAAGTGCAGTAGATTCGGAGTGAGCCAGCTTTCAGTAAATAAACCCCCATATGTCTGATTACAGGCCCTGTGCCCACTATGACAGTATTATATATCAGGTAGAATGGATGTTGATTGCTCTGCTTTCCTGACTGTAGGTCTAAGTACCCCCTGACTGCAAATCCACTATGTCCAATAAATGCTTTGGGACAAGTGCAGGCGCTTTCAATGGACAGGATGATAACAGAGTAGAAATAATAAACTATGGTCTACGAATGGAGGGGGCAGGCCTTTTAATTATCTGCCCCATCTCAATTAATACTGTATCTTACACGGAAGTTGTAGTAAGTTTTCCATGAATGGAGGAGTTGAGCAAGAAGGGTAGGCAGTTGGGCACTTTTGATGAGTGCCTGTCAAAGCGACTTTAGATCTATTAACGTGCTGTACTTGAAGATTGCAGGGTTGGGGGGGGGGGGCCATCAGAGGAGGAACATTTTTGCTAAACCAGTACAAAGCAGCACAACGGACACATCTCATTGAAGGTAAGTAACAACCCTTATGCTATTTAATTCTCCTTTTTAATTTTTTTTATGTAGACTTTTTTATTTTCCCATTCAGTGGGTCTGTGCCCACACTGCATGGGTTAACTGGTCGCTTTTATTCTATGGGTGAGGAGAGCAGAAATATACTTACCTAATCCACCAAACCTCCGAGCACAAGACTAGTCCCCGCCGTTCTTACCCTCCCCTGCACACTAGTGGTCTTGTGCATGGACTGTTCCTGACGTCATGCCCATAGACCATCTCTGAATATGAGGACAGCAGGAACAGTCCATCGCTGGACATGGGGGGGGGGAGCGCTGTTTTTCGGACTATCAAAGGATCCGGTATGTATCGTTTTTCCTTGTGCCCCTGGACAAAACAAGCAGTTAACCCATGTAATGTAGGCACAGTCCCACTGCATAGGAAATTAAAAAATGTTGCCCAGAGTTCTGGAGTTCTTCTTTAAGGAAATCTTATTAGTAATGATACAACAGGAATGTGTGTGGGTTGGAACAGAGCAGCACGTGTTAGACCTGAAATGAGCAACCTGGGGTTAGAGCCTAGTGGCAGGGCTTGTAGGCAGGTACCCAAGACCATTTTTTTTTATTTTATTATGTGACTGTCACTTACCCCAGGTTTACATCTGTACGGGTGGTGCCACTGTGGATCCGCACAAAATCCATGCAGCTGCACCACCCGCACAGAGAAATGCGGACTTGCAGGTGGAAAACGCAACCGTACTTGGAACGGAGGTTCCCGTGTGGGCTGCGTTTTCCACAGAAGTGTAGGGACATCTTTCCCTGCGTGTCTCAAGCACGGGAGTCCATTCAAATGAATGGGTTCTCATGCCCGTGCAAAACGCGGTCCGCACGGCCGCAGAGATGTGAACCGGGGTTAATTGTGAATTTGTAGCCATTAGTATTTTGCTTATCCATGTATTCTGATATCTTTGGAGTCATACTAAACTCCCACACTGTGGGTCCAGGCAATCCTGGGTATTACGGTGTTTGATTAATAATTAACTTATTAAAACGCCCCCTCATATGATAAAAATATCTTCGGTTGTCTGCTGTTTTAATGAGCTGGTCTGCACAGTCGTCTTAACGTCTGCATGTGTTAATTTCTCCTCATCTGGAGAGAGTATTAAGATGTCTTCAGCCTTAGACTTTAAATATTAATATACATCCCCTTCAGGGGTGGACTGGCAACTCATGGGGCCCCAGGGCAATAGGGGATCATGGGGCCCCTGTGTCCTTGCCCAAACTCAAAAAAGCCTATGAAAAAGGTACCAGGGGCATCTCATGGGGCCCCCTACTGACCCCGGGCCCTCGGGCAGTGCCCGAGTTTCCAAATGGTCAGTCCGCCCCTAAACCCCTTACTGCTATCTGTGGCCACCGAAGACAGCAGGCTGTTAGAAGTTATAAAGGGGAAGCCATTCTACCAGTCTGTCTCTGGAGAAGGATTTGCTTCTAAATCTTTTTCTGAAAGAAAAGGGTGAAAAAAGGAAGGTATCGGCTACTATCTATAAATACGGGTTTCCTCTTATGAATTCTTGCCTTTCTGTAGAATGACTTCGGCTTTTATTGTTCTGGCTGCATTGTTACAGGAGCTAGCAACCCAGAACAGTCAGTGCTTTGAAAAACCACTGAAATCATTGATTACAACTGAGGTTTTATGTCACAGGCAGGCTGACAACTCATGGGGCCCACGGGCAATAGGGGATCATGGGGCCCCTGTGTCCTTGCCCAAACTCAAAAAAGCCTATGAAAAAGGTACCAGGGGCATCTCATGGGGCCCCCTACTGACCCCGGGCCCTCGGGCAGTGCCCGAGTTCCCAAATGGTCAGTCCGCCCCTGTTCACAGGACAACTGAACAGAACATCTCTACCCACTAAAAAAATTCTATTTAGGAGAAATGTTTTTTACCTTTCCAGTGCAAACAGTCACCCTTTTCAAATATTCAAGACTTTTTTTTTTTTCTTCTCTTCTGTGTAAAGCTGCTTTTTGCAAACAGAACCCTGTGCTAAAATCCATAATTACTTTATTTTTATTTGTGTAGATTTGAAAATGTCACTTTGCTAATTTTGTTAAAAAAAAACCCCACACCCTTCATAATCTGTCAGTGTGAAGATAATTGCATACACAACAGGAGCGTATAATGCATGCTGAAGATGGAAATATAATGCTTTTAACATTCGAAAGCAATGCTGCCTTCTTTACACATGTGCAGCACATTTACAAGAGGCTTGTACTAAGGAAGTGTGGATGTTGCCTTTGCTAATATTTCCTTCTGAAGATCTAGTTCCCTGGCTGGCATGCTGGTCCACTGGCTTCAGGAATTTGAGTTGCTTACCTGGAATGTGCATGCAGATCCAGGAATTCTCACACGGATTTGCTTGCTTGTTCTAAGGTAGTGACCTAAGCTGCCCATACACTGGGTTTACTTTGAAATTCACTCCATGGCTGGCCTTGTTTGCTCCCTCCCACCAAAAAATTGTCAGGCAAATAGCATCTGCATCAAATCAGACACAGTTTGGGCATTTTGACAGCCAGTGGCATGCTTAACTCACTTGCCTTTCAGAGGATTCCCCCCCTTCCTGACCAGGCCATGTTTTGCGTTACTTTAACTGACAATTGCGTGGTCATGCAATGCTGCACCCAAATTAAATTTGTCTTTTTTTTTCCCACAAATGGAGCTTTCTTTTGGTGGTATTTGATTGCCTGTAGGTTTTTTTTTTTGTGCTATAAACAGAAAAAGGCCGACAATTTTCAAGAAAAAAAAACAATATTTTTGACTTTTTGCTATGAAACCTATCCAGTAAAAAAATTGAAAAAATCAAATTTTGTCATTTTATGCCAAAATGTATTCTGCTACGTTTTTGCTAAAAAAAAAAAAAAAAAATCCCATTACGTGTAAATTAATTGGTTTACGTGAAAGTTATAGTGTTTACAAATGGCGGTATTTATACTGAATTTTTTTTTTTTTTAATACTAGTAATAGCGGCACTGCGACGGGCATTCTGACACTAGGTGCGAACTGACAGTCACTGACATCCACGGTGACATTAATACAGTGATCAGTGCTAATAAAAAGCACTGACACTGTACTAATGACTCCGGGCAGGAAGGGGTTAACATCTGGGGCAATCAAAGGGTTAACTGTGTGCTGTTTCACATTATGTGCTGTGTGTGTGTTTTTACTCTGTAAGCATGCTGCTTTGTATTGCTCTGCTATTCAGAGCAATACAAAGCAGCATGTTGGTGCTGACAGGGGAGGGATCTGTATTGTTTGAATACAGACCTCTCTCTCCCTTGTCAATGTTCCTCGACGATTGCCGGGTGCCAATGGGAATCTCTGGCCGACACCCGGTGATTGGCGCGGGTAGGGCGAAGCGCACGTGCCCCCTACTCGGTAATGCAGAATCATGTGTATATACATGATTTTGCGCAGCCCTGCTGCCCTGTAGCAGTAGTTATATATAGGGCGGACAGGAAGCAGTTAAGGTAGATCTATAATTTTGGTAAGTAAGGGTTATAACCTGTCAGATTTTGTCATCTCTGTCCCATTGGGAAGATATACCTTCACTTCCTGTTCCATAGCCAAAACAAAAAGTGGGAGAAAATCTCTGCAAATAAAGGGAATTCCTTGGAGACCCCCAGGTCACCAGGACTTGTGTCCCCATTGGAAGATTTTACTTCCTATTATTTTTCTGGGGACAGCCGAAAATTTGATTTTCTTTTACTTTCAATGATAATGGTAACCGGTAGATCTCCTTAACAGGGACACTGGCAGCAATGAAATCTGACAGGTGTTATAATCCTTCTCCACTCATTCCAAAACTAAAAAAACCTTTTACCTTTAGTTATACTTTACCACGGATGGATGAAGCTGTTTGAAAACAATGTGTATGGTCAGCTTTACACCTCGTTCACATATGTGCAGAAAAGTGATGGAAACTGGCGGGCAGATTTCACCTGCAGAGACCTCAGTTTACATCAGTTTTTAGTCGTCATGCACACGGGACATTTTTACAGCGGCTGTTTTTGGCTGTTGACGTGTTTTTCTACAGCCAGTAAACCTCCCAGCATGTTATCCTATCCATACACACGTAGACTGTAATCAACGTTTTTTGGCTGGAAAAAAAACCCAGGACTAGTGGTTTTGTAGAGGAGTTTTATTTAGCTGTAAAAACGTTTGAACACTGCAAAACACAGCAAAACACGTTAACACACTGCTAAACGGTGCTTTTGTTAAAATAAAAAGCTAAAAAAAGCTGCTAAATGCTAAAAAAAAAAAGCTGAAAAACTCATGTTTTTAATGTGACTTTACACATCTGACATTACCAGCGTTATCAAAACACCCCGTGTTCATGAAGACTTATTTGCGCTCCAATGAGTTTTTATACCCGTTGCCGATTCCTGTGCAGAAAAAAAATCTGCTTGTGACACTAGTGTTGTGTGAACAGGACACATAGAAAACAATTAATTTTGTTGTGCTCTCGCAGAATGTGTGCAGAAAAACTGACATCTCTGCACCATGGTGTGAAGGAGGCCTTAAGTGATTTAGCCAGAGATAGGCAGCTAACATTTTTTTGAAGATCAGCTACTGCTACTCTCATGTTTCTATCAGCGCAGATTTCCTAGAATTTTTCCCACAATTTTTAATTATCCAAAAAATATTTTTGGTGCCTAGGATTTTGTAGGTGCAGCCATCTATAGCCATTTGCAGCTTTTGTTTTCCAAGTTTAGTTTGATGTGGCTGTGTTAGAGCACTTTCTGTATGCATGGGAGATGTCTGTCATTTCCAATACAGTAAGGAGATATGTTCTTGCAGTGTGCCACATACAGCGCTTCATACTTTAATGCAGAACGTAAAAGCCAAAGTGTGCTTGTGTGTTAGCTGATTAGGCCTAGAGAGCATGTCTGGGTGTCATGAGCTCCTGTTATCACACTCAGAGATTTCCTGTCCTGTTGGAAACTGTATGTGACCTGTTACTGATTGTCTCCGTTTTGCCACCAAACATGCCACCTCTGCTGGGAAGATTATAAAAGGAACTTGAAGTTTTTTTGTTCAAAAGTGAGCAGATCTCATGTAGACTCCACCTCTGCAACATCTCCAAGATACGCCCGTTCCTAACCCTGGAAACCACTAAGCAACTCATTCACTCCCTTATTATATCTCGCCTTGACTACTGTAACTCCCTCCTCATTGGCCTACCTCATCGCAGGCTATCCCCTCTTCAGTCTTTCATGAATGCTGCTGCCAGACTCATCCACCTTACTAACTGTTCTGTATCTGCCACCCCCCTCTGCCAATCCCTCCACTGGCTCCCAGTTGCCCAACGGATAAAATTCAAAACACTAACACTAACTGACGTATAAAGCCGTTCATAACACTGCCCCTAATTACATCACCGGCCTTGCCTCTAAATACCACCCAAACCGTACTCTCCGCTTCTCGCAAGACCTCCTACTCTCTAGCTCCCTTGTCTCCTCCTCCCATGCTCCTCTCCAGGATTTCTCAAGGGCTTCACCCATCCTCTGGAACTCCCTACCCCAATCTATCAGGCTATCGCCAACTCTGCTCACTTTTAGGCGCACTCAGAAAACCTCTCTCTTCAGGGAAGCCTACCCCGACCCCAGCTAATACTGGAATCCTCTACTATTCCTACCACTCCATCCCCCACAGCTAATTACTTTTTGTACTGCTAGCCCCTCCCTCCTAGATTGTAAGCTCCAAGGAGCAGGGCCCTCTAATCCCTCGTGTATTGAACTGTATTGTTGCTGTATTGTCTCCCTTCATAATGTAAAGTGCTGAGCAAACTGTCGGCGCTATATAAATCCTGTATAATAATAATAATCTCTCCCCATCTGTTATAACTGTCTTGTGTAACCACACTTTGCTGACCATGGGCAAGTTTTAAGTCCTTTTCAGATTTACTAACAAATGTTCAGTGCAAAATCCTGTGTAAACAATCCATTTTGTTGTATAACATATAAGTGCGCTAACATATAAGTACATTTCCATCAGCATTATATATATATATATATATATATATATATATATATATATATATATATATATATATATATATATAAAATCATATACAATATCGCACAAATAAATTGCATAAAATGTCAGCTTCTTTAAGAAAAGCAAAAGTGAAGATCACAAAAATGTTCTGAAAAAGACAAAATATAGCATATATTACATAAGTGTATATTCCTTAAAGGTGAAGTCCACAGCAAATGATAGGGCAGTGAAGGTAACTGAAACCACCCCATAAAAAATGTCCTCATCTGTGTGTCACTCCAGCCCAGTGTATCAAAATACTGCTTACCAGACTAAAAAGCTCATAAGATGTATATCATGTGGCACCATCATACACCTTAAATGATCCAGCCAAAAATGGTACACCCAATAGGAAGTCCTAACAGACCACATATACCAGGGGTAGGCAACCTGAGAGCCGCAGGACTACAAGTTCCATCATGCCTCTGCAAGTCATAGCTGTAACTGTCAGTTTTGTAATCTTTGCAATGCCTCATGGGAAATGTAGTTCCACAACAGCTAGAGAGCCGCAGATTGCCTACACCTGACATATACCATGGGGAAAAGACACAAAAGAACTTCACAGTGTAGCTATTACATAGATAAGCTTTATTAAAAGAATATCACTGACAGTATTCATGATGCCACAAGCATATACAGCGCTCCTCTGCAATACAGCTGGCAGGCGTGATGACGTCACCAACTGAAGTTCTATCCTTCACATTTTAGTCACAACCTTGACATCATCAGGGGAAGAGAGCCATTTAGTTTATATGAGGGGAGGACTAATACACACACACACTCACACACACTCACACACACTCACTCACACTCACTCACACACACTCACACACTCACTCATACACTCTCACACACACACACACTCTCATTCTCACACTCTTTTCCATTCAGACCTCAGTCAGAGCAGGAGCTACAGTCTGTGACAGCGTCTTGCCCCCTATTCAGAACTTTGATGGCAGGGCTTAGCTGACTGGAGTCTTGCAACGACTTTCTTTGCAGCTCTAAAATATCACGAGACCAAGTCAAGATATCAATGCTTAAAAAATGGAAAACTTAGAAATGTGTTGTGCCCATGGGAATCTGAAAAAGAATAATTTCTGATGATGGTGGCATAGTATTTTATTTAGGTGAGTCCATATCATTTTCACAGAGCTGTAGTTACCCTGTTCAGCTCATAAAGTAAGTCATTATTGACCGCCCCTATGTAGCATAGCCATGCATAAAAGGACCACACCAGCCTTTTACCAGGCCTCCCCATAGCTGTGTCACACTTCATATGTTGCAGTTTCTTGAGCCCATTTGAGATTTTTCCTACAAGACGGGTGACTGGTTGGGGTTTATTTACTAAAGCTGGAGAGTCCAAAATCAGACTCCCTTCTGCATAGAAACCAATCAGCTTCCAGGTTTCATTGCCAAAGCTTCATTGAACAAGCTGTTGTTAGAAGCTGATTGGTTTCTATGCAGAAGGGAGTCTGATTTTGGACTCTCCAGCTTTAGTAAATAAACCCCGTTGTGTCCCAAGCCAGATCTTCGCGCCCTCTTATGAATAATATCTAGTAGTCCCCCATTCTACATAGGAATGAGTAAATCTGAAGGCAGTGATATAGTACAACTGCGCTGTGTGTTGCTTCCTTGTGCAGTTGGCTCAGTTTCACTTTGCTAGATGAACTTAGAAGTAATTTGACATATTTTTCTCTTGTTCAGCTTGTGACAGTTGGAGTCTGCTGCCTCCCCCCACGCTTCATCACGATGTCAATCGTTTTGGACACTCTGCAGTCCTAATAAACGGGTAAGAACAAATAGCAGTTTTCATTCAGTGAATACATTTCCTTATGTTTTGGATCTTTTTAAAGAGGCAGCAGTGTATGTTGGGTGCCAAATTGATTATTCTTTTATTACTCAGCAGCTAACTTTATATAGTTTCCCAAGCAATGTGGGTTATTTAACCACTTCCAGTCCGGACACTTTTACCCCGTTCCTGTCCAGGCCAATTTTCAGCTTTCAGCGCTATCACACTTTGACAATTGCGCGGTCATGCAACACTGTACCCATATGAATTGTTTAGCACTTTTTTGAGACAGATAAAGCTTTATTTTGGTGGTATTTATTCACCACTGGGATTTTTATTTTTTTTTGCTATGTAAATAAAAAAGAACACAAATTTTGAAAAGTGTTTTCTTATAAAATTTTGCAAATAAATAGTATTTCATCATATATTTTGGCCAAAATGTATTTCGTTATCTTTTTAGTAAAAAAAAAAACAACAAATAACCCAAATTAGTTTTTAACCAAAATTTATAATTTTTGAACTTTTTTTTGTACAATTTTTTTTTTTTAACATACTGTCATCCTAGCAGTACAGTGTCACCATAGTGACACTGTACTACTTGTGGGGGGTGATGAAGATTTTTTTTTTTTTTTTTTTACACTGATTGCTTTTACACCCATAAAGGCTGTAAAAGCAATCATTTCTCCTCTCTAGCTGCATTCTTGCAGCCATTGAGAAATACTGTGAGAACTGCGATTGGTCACAGCTTGTCACATGGTAAAAGGCTGTTGTGATCATTCAGTTTTCACACGTAGTAAGCAATGATGTCACAAGTGACAAGTGCTTACTACTCTGCATGTGATCACTGATTGGCCAATCAGTGATCACATGATCGGGACCTCGCACGGAGGTCCCGTCCGACGATCGGTGATCCACTGTGTCCGGAGGACACAGTGGGCACCGGATCGCGGTGCTGCACGCTCCCAGGGAGTGCACACAATCAGGTTGCGTGGAGGCCATTTATATACAACGGCCGGACGGGAAGTGGTTAAAAACACAGCAGCAAAGCAAACAAAGCTTGCTTTGCAGCTCCATTTTAATCACTTTCTGGTTATGGAACTTATCACTGCTGTTCTTTATTTCTGTAAACAACCTCTTTTTCCCAGCACAACTGAAAGTTGAAATGGCTAAAAATTTGAAATGCAGACTTGAGTGCCATGTCCCGGCTGAATAGTAGATTGCAGAGCATTAATGTGACACTAAACAGTATCCTTATTCTCCATAAAAGAATCCTTCTACATTCATTACTTAGGGCTCATTCACATTTGACTTGTTTCTAACTCTTGCCAAACGCCCCATAGTGTTTGACAGGCGCTAGATGCTTGGGAAGCATTTTTAATGCTCCCCAAATGCCCTATTAGCGCTTTTGATGCGTTGATAGGCATTTGCCAAGCGTTAAAACCGCACCACAAACGCCTATAATTAAGTCTAATGGTATTAATGCTCTGCAACCGTCTTGCAAACGTCTGCCAGGCGTTTGAGGAGCGTCACCACAGACTTGAATGGGAGGCGTCAACTCCTCTTGACTCAACATGAGGCGTCAGTTTTGCCGCAGTGTGCTGCCATGTGTAGAATTTTCATAGGCGTTTGAGAAGCGTTGAAAACGCTTCCCAAACGCCTTTCTGGCGCCTGCTGACAAAGCTAGTGTGAACGTAGCCTTACTGACCCTGTAATCTGTTTACATGAAATGGTTTCCTACTGTGTTTGCTTATTTGTAACATCCTCCATGAACTCCTGAACTTCTTCTTTTTCCTCTCACTTCTGTTAATGTGGAATGAGAAGTGCACATTAATTGCCATCATGTGCACTGATCTATGCACACTACATAGCCCCTAGTCCATCTTGGAAGCAAGCAAGAGAGGGTGACACTGTTCCTACATACAATGGGGCCGTGGATAATGAAAGTAGCCACCCTTTAACAATAAGTTGATCATAGCACAAAAAAAAAAAAAAAAGTTTAAAGATTTGGGGAGGAGGCTTAGATCAATAGAAGGTACCTTTTGTGAGTTATTAAAGGCAATTTTTTTATTTTTTTTTAAATAACAAACATGATATACTTACCTGCTCTATACAATGGTTTTCCACAGAGCAGCTCCTATTCTCCTCTTGTGGGGGTCCCCCTCCAGCGCTCCTGGTCCCTCCCTCCTGCTGACTGCCCCCGGAGCAAGCAGCTTGCTATGGAGGCACCCAAGCAGGCTGGCTCCTGAGCTGCTGCTCTTCGTGTCAATTCACAGACGGAGCTGTGGCTGGGCCCCACCCCCTCTCCTCATTGGCTCACTGGCTGTAATTGACCGCAGCAGGAGCCAATAGCTCCCGCTATGGTCTCGGCCAAAGAGGAGGGAGAGTTCCTGGAGAGCCGAGGCTCTCGTGCACATTTCTGGATCAGGATGTGGCTCAGATAAGCATTAGTGGAGCTGGTGGAGGAGGAGGGGGAGCTGCACACAGAAGGTTTTTTACCTTTATGTATAGAGTGCACGAAGGTAAAAAACATTGAGCTTTTACAACCACTTTAAAAGGAGAATTCTAGCCAAAGCTATTTTGCTATAGTTCTCCTGGGGATCACAGGAGTGCAGTTTGTTTTTCACCCTTGTGACCCATTTTCAGCCGACAGTGGGCTAAAGACTGTTCTTGGCTGACGTCACAAAGCTGGTCCAGGCTCTGTAAAGATCCCAACCATGTGGTCGGGATCCACCCAAATGGCTGGACCGGCGGTTGGCTGCTGAGAACCTTAGCCAGCTGCTCCCGACCTCCACAGCCCAGCTCTGGAGGGGTAGAGCAGAGAGTGGTGACTGACAATCACATGCTCTTAGCTCACTGATGGCTCAGTGATCAGCAATTTTTTCATCGCTCATTATTCTTTTAAGAATACATAATTGATTAGACTTTCATTTTTAAACCAGAGTTTGTCAATTTATACCCACTCTATCGCTTGAGTTATAAAAGAAATGTAAATAGGCCGACACAAGGAGAGAGTTTGATTACTTGTCCCGCCTGCCGTTTCCGTGATCTTTGGTTCTTGCAAAGCGGTGACCTCTTTACATACAACATACTTCTGAGTGTGTTGGATGCCTGCATTCCCAGCTGTGCTCTGTGGTTCCATGCAGTTGTCCTGGGACCTGTCACGTGTCCCAGAAGACTACAGGGAGGGTGGGGGGAGGACAACTTCTGCTTCCGATTCCCCCGCCGCTCCCCAAAGGTTCTTAATGGCGGTGTCGGGGACTAGTCTTTAAAGTGGAACTTCACCTTTTGGTTGAAGCTGTGCTTTAAGATTTTACCTGAAACTGCAGATGCTGGACATCACAAAGCCTGGATGAACAGGCGATGGGACATTATATAAACCAATAAATATTATACAGTAATTACTCCACGCAGGCTCATTTACACCGCACATGCACATTGTGTGCTGGAGTGCAGTTTTCATACTCATTTTTTTTTTTTTTTTTTATAATTCTTTGCTGCTGTGCTGCAGTGTGTTGTGATGTGAGTGTTACAGTATGTCCAGAATGCAAAAAATATAAAGACTTTTTTTTTTTCTCCTCACACTAAAGTACAGTCTATTTAGTGTGACCTGCAGCCATAGAGTATTAGACATTTTGCTTTATTTATCTATTTCAGGTACTTATATAGCGCCATCAAATTACACAGCGCTTTACATATATATTGTACATTCACATCAGTCCCTAACCCCCAAGGGGCGTACAATCTAAGGTCCCTAACTCACATTCATACATACACATACTATAGACAGTTTGGAGTGTAGGAGGAAACCGGAGTACCCGGAGGAAACCCACGCAGGCACAGGGAGAACATGCAAACTCCAGGCAGGTGGTGCCATGGTTTGGATTTGAACCAACACCCCTAGTATTGCCAGGCTGTAGTGCTATCCACTAAGCCACTGTGCCGCTTTGCTACTGTGTTGGGCTATGCTGTCCAGTGGACCCCATCATTGCTGGTGGTTACAAGTTTCTGTCAATGCCACTGATACGGATAAGGGCAAAATCTCTCCATCAGGAATAAAACAGCAACAAAAGGTTATTTTTTGCAAAATTGAGGAATGCTAAAACATTTTTCATCTTTTTATTTTTATTGCTGCCTAGTTTTAGATCCCCCATTGTTTTGAAAAAAAAAAATAAAAATACCGCTCACATTGTCTCATCTCCATATACTACATAATAGCCTACAGCTTGTCTTTTGGGTTACACTGAGCTCAAACAGTCATCCACTTCCATAGGCAATTCCTTACAAAGAACTTTTCTCTCTTTCAGCACCATGCTTGTGTTTGGAGGATTCAACAGTCTCTTGCTCAGTGATGTCCTGATGTTCACATCCAAGAGTTGTGAAGCTTTTACAAGTAATACCTCATGTATATTGGCTGGACCGGAAATTCGCTGTGTCTGGGATAACGATACATCTCAGTGTTTGTCCTGGCAACAAGCATCTCCAAAACAACAAAATGACAGCATAGATTTATGTCCTGTTATCGTATGTAAGTATTCTATATGGTGCTCCTCAACCTCCCCTATTTGATTACTCATCTGTATCCGAAGCTGATTACTAAATCATTATTCCCTTTATACACTGAATACAGTTAATTTTCAGGGATCTTTAGACACTGTTTTGTCTTTAAAAGCTGTTAGTCAAGATCCCAAAAAGGAAATAAAATAATTGCAGTCAACAGCACAACTGTCAAATTTCCAACTTTTCAGTTTCCAGCCAGCAAAATGGGTCTTCGAAGCATATTCAGCCTTTTCATTTTTATGCCCATTGTTTGGTGTGCTGCTTTCATTCATACTTTTTACCAGTCTCAGACATCTAAAAGTTACAAAGCTTCTGCACTTCCTAGTAGCGTGGAAGCTCGCCCTCTTGCATGATAATGTTGGCCAATGAGGCAATCAATAGCCTAGGCTTTAAGAAGAAGGGTGGTGGTAATGCCATGACTATTCCATGACAGCCTAGGCTTGTTGAATGAGGCTACTTGTCATAAAACCCAGTAGACTGGTGACTTTTATGATTTATTTATTTCAGGTACTTATATAGCGCCGTCAGTTTACGCAGTGCTTTGCATATATATTGTACGTTCACATCAGTCCCTAACCCTCAAGGGGCATACAATCTAAGGTCCCTAACTCACATTCATATACTAGGGCCAATTTAGACAGGATCCAATTAACCTCCCAGCATGTCTTTGGAGTGTGGGAGGAAACCAGAGTACCCGGAGGAAACCCACGCAGGCACAGAGAGAACATGCAAACTCCAGGCAGGAGGTGCTGTGGCTGGGATTTGAACCAACAACCCAAGTACTGCCAGGTGGAAGTGCTAACCATTTATTAGAATAGGTGTGCTGTGAGGGACAAAATGTAGTTAAAGTGGAACTATAGGCAAAACTTTTTTTTCTTTTCCCATTTTGGATAGAGCAAGGGAGGATTATAACCCTGTTAGATCTTTTTTGTTCAGGTGACCAGAACTAGTGTCTCCATTGGCAGATTTTTCATTTATTTCTTTTCTGGAAACAACCCCAAAATTTGGGGTTTTCTTTTACCTTCAGTTTCAATGAATAATGGTAAACGGAAGTAAAGATATGGAGAATCTCCCTAACGGCGGCACAGACAGCAGTAAAAACTGACAGCGGTTCTAATCCATCTGCACTCCATCCACAATGTAAAAAAAGTTTTGCCTTTAGTTATACTTTAAAGATTGTACAAAAATATGATGGTTTTTATTTTTTCTTTTGCTGGGCTATTTATTTTAAATGTAGTTCCCATTTAATGTGTATTTCAAGCTAAAAGCTTAATTTTATTATTTTGTAGCTTACCAGACCTTGGATGAGGTGGCTTCATTAGTGTTTTTTGTGGGGATTTTTTTTCCCTTGTTTTTACCTCGTGATCCTACTAGAAACACACTTCCTTTCCTTTATCCAGGATGCTTTCCTGATTTGGAATACAAATACAATTTCCTCTTCATCTCCAATACATATAGTTTACCAGAGATAATTTGAAAGGCAAATAACATTCTTTGAGATTTCAGGTCAGCTCACAGGAGATACTTGCCTAAAATGGTCTTTGGCCTGGAAAAAAAAAAACCAAGTGTAGCCACCACACCACCCAAGGACGGGTATGCTGCAATATAATATTTTTTTTGTTCTTGGACTTAGATATCTTGGTGAATTTTTTTTTAAGGGTTTAATGGGTTTTAAATGGCTCCTGAATTAAGGAAGCTACTTTAAACTATCCTGGTCCTGTTTTTGCACCAAAACAAAAAAGCTTGTTGGGTCATTCTTTTCATATGGGTCACAGGAATGCACTTGCTTTTGCCCAGAATCAGCTGACAGCAGGCTAAAGTCCGCAGTCGGCTGACATCACAGAGCTGCTCCAGGCAATATGACCCACATCCTAACAGGCAGCTGGCTCAGCCTGTCGGTGCGCCTCTGAGAGCCTGAGACAGCCACTTCCGCTCCTCTCCATAGCCTGGCGCTCTATCAAGCACTGGAGGGGCAAAGCAGTGACTGACCGTCACTGCTTTCTGCTCAGAGCGGACCTGAGAACTGAGCGATCAGCAGTCATGTGATCTCTCAGTTCTCTGACTTATAGCTGGCGGGGGGCAGCTGCAGCATTTGAGCATAGATGAGTATGTATAATTTTTTTTCTCTTCTCTCACTTCTCCTTTAAAGTGGTTCTAAAGGCTCAAGGTGTTTTTTACCTTCGTGCATTCTATGCATGAAGGTGAAACACCTTCTGTGTGCATCACCCCCCCCCCCCCCCCCCGCCCCCATAATACTTACCTAAGCCTTCTCTCGATTCAGCAATATGCACTGGAGTCTCTGTTATCCCGGGACTCCCTCTTCTCATTGGCTGAGACAGAAGCGGGAGCTATTGGCTCCCATTGCTGTCAATCACAGCCAGTGAGAAGAGAGAGGGGGCAGGGCTGAGCCATGGCTCCATGTGTCAATGGACATGTGGAGCAGTGGCTGCCCCCATAGCAAGCTGCTTGCTGTGGGGGCACCCGACAGGAAGGGAGACAAAAGGAAAGCCTGCGGGGGACCCGAGAAGAGGTGGATCCGGACTGCTCTGTGCAAAACCACTGCACACAGCAGGTAAGTATACACGTTTGTTATTTTTTTCTTTAAAAAAAATAAGCCTTTAGAATCACTTTAACTATACTGGGTATAGCCCCTAAAAAAACAAAAAAAAAAAACACCCTATACATTAAGAAATTTTTTTTTTTTTTTTTTAAACATCTTTCACCTAAACAGATAATTATTGAAACTACTCTTTATTGTCAACACTAAAGCCATTGCTTTATAGCTGCACTTAACACCTGCAGCAGCATTGCTCACCAGCCCTAAAGAAGGTAGCTGCATGGCTGTTCCGCTGACCTACTGGCTTTAGCACTTTGAGTCTCCGACCAATAATATGTGGATCTCGACGGCTGTAGAGGTCAGAAATATTTGTTGACTTTTTTACTGGATCAGTGACCCAGATATTTAATCAAGCGGTTCATATTGCTGCCATGCAATCAGCATATTCAGAGAGAAGTCAGGCTCCATGTGCGTCCATGGCAGGTTTCCTTTAAGGCTACATTCACACTGAGTTGAGCGTTTTCAGGCATTTTGTTAAATCTTTCTTTTCAGGAGTTTTTGAGCTTTTTTTTTTTAGCAGATTTGTAAATAGTATAGGGATTTTTTCAGGTGTTTTTTATTTAGGCATTTTTGCTGTGGCCTGCAGAAACCTGTGTAGATGTGTCCAAGCTACATACAACAGGAAAACCAGAATCAAGCATGTGGCTGCTGTACTCAGAAGTTCTTTACCTTTCTTCTTAATTTTGGGAACAAAGTAGCTGTTCCACTGGGACAGCAAGTTTCGTACTACTCCCTCCCAGGCTCTAGTGGTTTTTGCCTGGCTCTTAAAATGAGGATCCCTGGGATCATAGATGCAGGGGTGGCCATGGATGAGAAAGATGAATGTCTCAGCTTCCAGAAGCAGACTCTCCTCCATTTTCATCACACGATGTGCATTTATAAGGTGTGGAATGATGCTAGAAAAGGGGAGGTGAGTTACTGTTTGAGCTGAAAACACTTGAAAAAATGCTAGTTTTTTGCTTTTCAGGTGTTTTCCTTTCAAGTCTGTTGGAACAAAAGCACTTAATGCTGCCTGAATAGTTGCACTTGTACTTTTTTGAGTGACAGGCGTTTTCTTACGGTTGACAAAAAGCTCAAATGTGAACAGGAGCCATTGAAAAAAATGGGATTTTCCTTGTTGAACGTTTCTGAGCGTTGAGCTTCGATCTGAATAACGCTCAGGTGTGAACGGGCCTCAAACTACACAAGTCTGCTTTAACCACCCCACCCTTGCTCTGTTTACACATTCACTCTATGGTCCAACAATTCTAAATTACAATAATAACATTAGTATAGGAACCACAATTAAATGTGAACAGTCAATTCCTGGTAGCCTCTTTTTCTTTGTTTTGGCTGGTTTTCATTCATTGTAGATAAAAATTGAATTTTGAATATGGCCTAAAAATCCCAACGCCCCCTGTGGAGCCATATTCTCTTTCAGAACATTTTCTTTGGATGTGTTTGCAGACAAGAGGGGAAAATTTCTTCTCTAATTGCCTCCACAGTAAGACTTGTCAGGGAGGAAGGCAGTGCGGACTTGTTGGGGATAGGGCGCCTCTGGCAGAAGAATTGACATGTAGAGTTGAAGATGCCACACAAGTTTGTGTGGTGGAGACACTTTGCTTAGCTCTGAGACAGAATGCAATACATTTGTGATTGTCTAATTTTTGTAATCTTTATTTCCTTTTCTATTTCTTCCTTCAGATCCTGACAGTGATAGCAAGTGTGATCAGTATACGGACTGCTTTAGCTGCACAGCGAATACTAATGGCTGCCGATGGTGTAATGACCAGTGTATTACACTTAATAACAACTGCACAGCCAGTCAGGTCAGTCACTATATTTCTGTATTACAGCATTGACTTGATACATGCCAAAAAAAGGCATATAAAGAACACCAAAGAATAAGCGCACTTATTCTTTTCCACCCCTCTCCCCAGCACTTTGAGTGTATGATATCTACAAAATGCTATAAAAGTGTATAACAAAAATTGAAAATTTCAGCGCTGAAAAACATTCTCCTATGCTACAATAAAACATACACATTACTAAAATTTCGATCAAAACGCACCAATTAAAATCGTGCAATACAGTAATAAAGTATATGTAAACCTTCACCAAGTAAAACCACTTCCCGCAGGCCAAAAAACCTATATGTTGTTTTTCAGCAGGTGAACTTTAACGCTGAGGGCCCGCATATATGTGGCCCTAGGTAAGCACACTACTGTGCTGAGTGTGTGTTCCCTGCGTGCATCCTGCACAGTAGCCAGCAGATATTTGTAAGCTCTCGTTGCATATTTTCAATCAGGAGCTTTCCAATCATGTCACCACTGCAATTGGCATCATTCACATGATTGGCATTCACATTCCCGCCTCCTAGCATTTAGAACCTCCTAAAGGGCTGAGAGGCAATGGTGGGAAGGGGTTAAAATAGAAATGAGAGGCAAAACATTTGTGTGTACATATAAAATACATTAATACCTTTTATATAAGCGAACACATACACTCTATTCTTTGCTGCATAAGAGCTGGGGGAGGAGAAACAGCAGCACCCTGAACTTCCCAGTGAATGGCTGTCAAGGGGGGGAAAAGGGGTGTTAGGACAAGTCTGATCATTGGAGGAGAGCAGTCCGAGTTCCAGCACAGCTCTCCTACCTAGTGTGGTCAGTTTTTCATAGGAAAGCAGAGGGACTGGCAGGAACACCAGGAATTTCACACAAAGGAAGCAATACAAAGAGAACATGATACTTTTAAATACAAGTACATGGTACAGCAGGCACATATCAGGAATATGAAAGGTTGGGTTTAAAAATTATTTTTGTAAACGCAAGATTATGCAATCCATGACTTTCTTCCTGTTAATTTCCAATCCGTGAAAACGTTCTCAGAACTCCTTGTGATCCTCTATTATATTGAGAAGAAAAAAAGAAAAAAAGTTTCCCAACCAGCTAGGGAAAGCGTTCAATGTTTTTTTTTTTTTTCCTTGTTCATTGACTTTTCTTGTCCTTCAGGTTATACTGCTACATAAAGGAGGATTGGACACTTTCAAACAAGAAAACTAGACAAGGCTAGCATATCATGTCTTATTACCAACATGTCTCAGCAGCATGTACCAGCAATTCTTTACTATTATTCCTAGGAGGATGGGACATCTTTTCTTAAGATTGTGTGAAAAAAACTAATTTTTTTTAGTTTTTACTTTCTTTAAGACCACATTGGTGCTGGAGCTCTGTCTCTTTTACACTTGTCCTAACTCTGGCTTCTTAAACCTATCTCTTTCTGAGCCTGTTGGACTGGTTCCTCCAGGAATAGAGTGGAAGTGACCTTTGGGCACTTAGTTCTATATGGGGCACTTTTAGGACCCCGTTCTAATAAAATTTAACTGCAGAGTGCTTTCCAGGTCCAAAACTGCTGGCTGTGCCTCTGAAGGTTCACTTAGTGATTTGGCCAGCCGAGGTGAGCAATTAGAGATAACTCATTCACGTAGATGGCTGGGCATTATCATTCCCCGTTCCCACAGGTTTTATGTGAATGCTGTGGGATGGAGTGCTGACGTGATACACTAGGTCAAGTGTTGCATGCGCACCACGCTTTCTTTTTGTTGAACGGTGTTGAGGAATCATCTCCCCGCTGCTTCGGCTTGAATAGAGCCGTGTAGAACTTCATCTTCATTTGGTTCCTGCTGTCCACCTACAGTAACGTTGGTCATCTATGACCATCTGACTCTCACCTGCTACTAGCTGGCAGTGTACCTGAGGCCTTGCCTTTCTGGCATGCAGTTGCAACATGTGTGATTCTAGATACTGTAGGGATAGACAATGCTGTACTGTGTGCTCCCTTGTCCGTTTCTGCTAATGCCTCTAGGATTGTTTGCAGCACATTTACTGACCGTGAAGGTGTCTGCAGCCTTTTTTTTTTTAAATATTTTCCCCTGCTCTTAAGCTGGCTGTAGATGGATTCAAATTTGGCCGGTTCAGCAGGGAACAGCTGAATTTCGATCCATGCTTGGTCACTCCTGCTTGACAAAAGTCAATCTAATGACCAACTTCTGTCAATTGGGCTTGTTGGAAATTTTTTCTCGATCAGTGGCACAGGTCAATGATCAGCAGTCGCTTATCAATATACTCTGACAGCAGAGGAGGCCTGCTGTCAGAATACAATGGCATAGTGGGGAGGGTTTCTCTATCCCCTTGGCTTGTGTGGATAGAGGAATCTGCTCGTTTAAAAAATATGGTCATGCAAGAATTTGAGCCAAGTCACCCAGTTGTATGACTCCTTGCAGAGACCACAAGCGTGCTCCCGCACCACCGTGAGCCTAAAGGATCAGCTTGTTTCTTCTATCAGTGCTGTCTCTAGCTTTGAGTTATTTAAAACTTTTAAGGCAGCAAATACTTTCCTGCTGCACATGCTTTTACAGCTGTTTCTCTATTGCGCAAGTGCGGTAGAAAGGATCCTGTTCTGGGCAGGAATTCACGTTCCAGCCTTGCCAGCCATGTACTTTCCAGATGTAGGCAATTGGCAGGCAGACTTCTTCAGCCGGCAGCCCTTAAACTTGGTGGAGTGGTCCCTGCACTTGGTGTAGTTCCAGGACCTATGTTGCAAGTAGGGCATGTCGGATGTGGTTTTGTTGACCTCTGGGTTCAACATACAACTGGACAGGTTTGCTTACAGGTACATGGATCCTCTAGGGCAGGGGTCTTCAAACATTTCAAAGAAAGGGTCAGTTTACTGTCCTTCTGACTTCGGGAGGGGGGGGATGGGGAGATGGATTTTGCCAGGTGGGGGTAGAAAATGTCCTGGGTTCAGCATCAGTGAGAATAAATATGGCCTCAGGGTTGGTGGTCAGTAGGAGGAGGAATAGTACCCCATAATTGGTATCTGTGGAAGAAATAGTGCCACATTGTTGTGCCCCAAGGACTGAGTAAATGCTATCAAAGGGCTGCAGTTTTGGAGACTCCTGCTCTAGGGGAAGCAGTGGATGTTCTGTTTGCTCTGTGGGATCCATATGCCCTGATCTTTGCATTTCCTGCTCTGAAACTTTTGTCTGCTTCTCAGGTTCAAGTTGGAGGGCATTCCAGTGATCCCCATTTCTCTGGACTGCCCAAACGAATATAGTATGTTAATCTGGTAGGACATCGGGAACATGCGATGTAGGCCTTCCCAGATTGTTGGCATCCTCTGTCCCAAGAACCGATTTACCATCCCACTTTCTGGTTGCTTACTTTAATAAAATGTCTGTTGATGCTCAAGTTCTGCAAAACAGGGCCTTCTCTCTGAGTTTTGACTCCTATGATGCTCAAAGCTAGGAAGCCTAATTCCTACAAGCTCTATCATCAGACATGATTTGTTTGAGTCTTAGTGTTTTAACCCAGGAGTGTTTCCGTGTTGTGAATCCTCTTCTTACTGCATTTGGATCTTGACCAGTATTGGGCTTTCAGCACAATCATAGGTCTGGTTTCTGCCCTTTCTGTCCTGTTTTACAGACTATTGTCCTCTTTCTGCTTGATTAAGACCTTTTTGCAGGGGGACTTGTATAGATCTTCCTGTTCATTCCCCAGTTATTCACTGGAACCTGAACCTTGTTCTCTATGCACTTCACAAACCTTCATTTGAGCCCAATGGAAACATTTCTTGCTTTGGTCTGACCCATAAGGTGGTTTTCCTTGTACCATCAGCTATATGATACAAGTGTCTGAGGTGGTGGCCTTATCATGCAAAGAACACTTTTGTGGTTTTGCTTAGGGTTAAGAGTGTGTTAAGGCCCAGGACTTCCTTTCTGCCTTTCTGTCTATATCAGCAATGGGCAAACTATGGCCCGGCGGACCTTTTAATCCGGCCCGCGGAGCGTGATGTGAGGCTGTCAGGATGTGTGTAGGCGGGGCAGCGTGACGAACGTGAGGGGAGCTAGGCTCCTCTCACAGTCCGCCCTGAAGACCGGAATGGCGCGGGAACACGGCGAGAGGAACGCGCGGAGCAAAGGTAAGTAAATTGACACAGGGGGGACTTACTATAGGGGGGATGAATTACTATATGGGGGATGAATTACTATATGGGGGATGAATTACTATGGGGGATGAATTACTATATGGGGGATGAATTACTATATGGGGGATGAATTACTATAGGGGGGATGAATTACTATAGGGGGGATGAATTACTATAGGGGGGATGAATTACTAGGGGGGATGAATTACTATATGGGGGATGAATTACTATGGGGGAAGAATTACTATATGGGGGAAGAATTACTATATGGGGGATGAATTACTATGGGGGATGAATTACTATGGGGGATTAATTACTATGCTTACTATGGGGGAATTTTACTATATTTACTATGGATGACACATACACATCATTCATCTACTCTTGGTCCGGCCCCCGGGTCCAATATATGAACCCATTGCGGCCCTCAAGTCAAAAAGTTTGCCCACCCCTGGTCTATACCTTAACCAGTACATTGTGCTGTCTCTTTGCATGTCTGTTGTTTACCAAAAGGAAATTTAAATCCATTGTCTGGATATGGTTTGGGGCTGTGCAAGTCTTGCTGTCAACCACTGTTTTTCAGAAAGACCAATTGCCTTTTTGTCATCCTGGATTGACCCTGCAAAATTACATTGGCTTCCTGTTTTACCATCTCTGGGTGGCTTAGACAGACCCTCGTTCAACTTTATGGTGTCAGGAATCGGGTTCCACCCTGTCAAGGCGCATTCCTCTAGATCTGCAAATGTTTTCTTGGCATCAAGCATCTGTTTGATTTGCAAGGCTGCCACCTCATCTTCTGTTCACATATTTTGACTGCTGGTTGTTTCTGCCTCATATAATATCAGCTTTGGGAATAGGGTCCTTCGGGTAGTTCTTTGTGTAGAGACAGTCTCAAATCTTCTTTTGTTTCCCTGGGCCTATTGTCCGTTTGCGGGTTTTGCCCATCCTTCAATTGGACTGCTTTTGGATTTCCTGAAAGTTTAACTTCCTGTGCCCCTCAATGGGCAGGAAAGAAAATAGAAATTTTTTACTCGTAAACTCCTTTCCTTGGAGTCAGTTGATGGACACAGATGCCGCTCTTTTGATCAGTGTTTGTTTGCTAGATGGCAGACCGCAATATAACCCAAAAGTTAGAGTCTGCCAGTGATGCTCAATGGACATTAAGAAAAGGATGTTAAGGTAGATGCAGGAACCCTATTATGCTTTCTATTACGGAAAGAATAAAGCTCTTAATTAGACAATGTAGCTCAAATCCTCCTCAGCTCCCTATAGTTGTAACATGGGCAATAAACCTTTCAGCACGGGTCAACAGAACAGCTCAAAGAAGATAAATCACATTGGCACAGCAGTAATTCTTTTTTTTCAGCAAACACAAGAATCAAGCCATTTACACAGTGTGAGTGCTCCATAGCACAAGTGATATGAGGAACCTTTTAGTGGGCTTTGACAAAGCCTTGATTGACGAAACGTGTTTGGCCGAGCTACTGCATGTACCACAGGATGATCCTGGAGTGTGAGAAGACTGGCGTTTTTGAGAAGTAAGGAAGGCAAGTGTTTAACACTGTCTATTCAGCTTGATATTGCTAGTGCTGTGAAGCATTCCCGCTGTGTAAGTGGATTGATTCATGTGTTTGTTGAATAAATGAGTTACTCTATGTGGAGGTGATTTGTCTTCGCTCGAGCTGTTCCACTGACCCATGCTGAAAGCTTTATTGTCTGAATGACGGTAAACAGGAGCTGAGAGGGATAAGAGCTCCATTGCCTAATTAAGAGCTATATCCTTTCATAATAGAGAGGACATAACAAAGGTGAGAGTCTTCTCCATCTGGTTGGCATACTTTTGTTCAAGGGACCATTTTCTGAAGAAAATTTCACTTATTGTTAACAAATGGTATGAAAAGTCATGGATTGATATTAATGCATAGGTACAATGGTCAAGATTGGACAGGTGTACATTTGCTATACCTGTGGCACTGCTGTGGAGATAAATAATTGCTGTAGTAGTCTCCTCTAACTGCAGGGATTGCCACAGTCTTCCAGGCTCCGGGCTGAGTGGCTGCCGTGCTGCATAGTAATCCGAGGGTGTCCCTTACTCAGCACAGGTGCCATTTACAGAACACCTTATATTTTTTCCTCAATGAATGCCTAGTGTTCTCTGATTGGACCAGATGGAGAGCTTGGAGCAGTGATGCCACACTCTCTACTTGGTCTAATCAAAGAACGGTTTGCATTCATGGAGAAAAATGAAGGGCGTTCTGTGTTTGGCACCCATACAGCAAAAGAGACACCCTGTTAATATGCAGCAGCATCTGCAAGAAAGAGAACTATAATGGCAACTACTACAGTGATTATCCACTTCCACATCTGGTTCCACAGGTATGGTTTTCTGCATAGCTGCATTCTTCCAAGCTGGATTAATGTGGTTCCAATGGCTCAAGGTTTTTTACCTTCATGCATTCTATGCATGAAGGTAAAAAACCTTCTGTGTATAGTGGCCCACCCAGCCCCCCCTAACACTTACCTAAGCCCTATCCTGATCTAGCGATGTCCACGACAAGCTTGGTTCTCCATGGACTCTCACTCCTGAATGGCTGAGGAGCCTTTGGCTCCCGCTGCTGTCAGTCACTACCAGTGATCCAATCAGGAGAATGGAGGGGGCTGGGCCGAGCTGAGCTGTGGCTCTCTGTGTGAATGGACACGCAGAACCACAGCTTGGAGCATGCCTGCTCGGATGCTCCCATAGCCAGCTGCTTGTTGTGGGGGCACCCGACAGGAGGGAGGAGCCAGGAGCGCCGACAGGGGACCCTAGAAGAGGATCGGGACTGCTCTCTTCGCAAAACTACTGCATACAGCAGGTAGGTATGACATGTTTGTTTTTTTAAAAAAAAAAAACAAGACTTTAGCATCACTACCACCGAAAGAAACCTCTATTTGTGGGAAAAAAAATTACATTAATTTATGTACAGCGTTGCATGACACAAAATAGGGTTGAAATAAAATGTACTTCAGATTTTGTAAGTTTTGTTATTGAAGATGTAGAACATTTGCTGTTGTGAACATCCTTTTTTTAGCCTGAATTTTTTTTCTTTTTTTTTTTTTTTTATTTCTTTTTTTCCATGCTTTATATTATAACATTGTAGTATTCTTTAACCACTTCCAGTCCAGACACTTTTACCCCCTTCATGTCCAGGCCAATTTTCAGCTTTCAGCGCTATCACACTTTGAATGACAATTGCGCGGTCATGCAACACTGTACCCATATTAATTTTTTAGCATTTTTTTGCGATAGATAAACCTTTATTTTGATGGTATTTCACCACTGGTATTTTTATTTTTTTTGCTATATAAATGAAAGTCCAAAAATTTAGAAAAAGTGTTTCTTCTAAAATTTTGCAAATAAATAATATTTCATCATAAATCTTGGCCAAAATTTATTCAGTTATCTTTTAGTGAAAAAAAAAATAACCCAAATTAGTTTATAACCAAAACTTATAATTTTTAAACTTTTTTTTTTACAAATTTTATTTTGTTTTTTTATATTATTATTTGTTTTTTTTCTACATACTGTCACCCTAGCAGTACAGTGTCACCATGGTGGGGGGTGATGAAGATTTTTTTTTTGTTCTACACTGATTGCTTTTACACCCATAAAGGCTGTAAAAGTAATCATTTCTCCTTCTCTCTGGCTGCATTCTTGCAGCCATTGAGAACTGTGTGAGCTGTGATTGGTCACAGCTTGTCACATGGTACAAGGCTGTTGTGAATAGCCTTGTACCATGTGACCTCTGTGATCATTCAGAGTTCACATGTAGTAAGCAATGATGTCAGGAGTGACATCTTGCTTACTACTCTGCATGTGATCACTGATTGGGCAATCGGTGATCACATGAACAGGACCTTGTACAGAGGTCCCGTATGACGATCGGTGTTTCACTGTGTCCGGAGCACACAGCGGGCACCGGATTGCGGTACTGCGCGCTCCCAGGGAGCGTGCACAGTCCATAATGGCGGGTGCCGTTTATGAACAGCAACCCGACCCTGGAGTGCCACCGTCCTGCCGTTTATAAACAGTGGCCGGACGGCAAGTGGTTAATATGCTTCAGGTTTTGATTATGTTTAAATACACGGCTCAAAAAAAAAAATGAAAGGAACACTTTTAAAACACATCAGATCTCAATGAGGAAAAATCTCCTGCTGGATATCTATACTGATATGGACGGGTAATGTGTTAGGAATGTAAGGATGCCCCATCATTTGATGGAAATGAAAATGATCGACCTACAGAGGACTGAATTCAAAGACACCACGAAAATCAAAGTGAAAAAATGATGTAGCAGGCGAGACCATTTTGCTGAATTTCATTCCAGCAACTCAAAATGGTCCTCAGTAGTTTGTATGACCCCCATGTGCTTGTATACATGCCTGACAACATCGGGGGAGGCTCCTAATGAGACAACTAATGGTGTCCTGGGGGATTTCCTTCCAGATCTGGAGCAGGGCATCACTGAGCTCCTGGACAGTCTGAGGTGCAACCTGGCGGCGTCAGATGGACCGAAATATATCTCAGAGGTGTTCTATTGGATTTAGGTCCCTCCATGGATATGTCTTCCCAGACCATCACTGACCCCCACCAAAACAGTCATACTGAACGATGTTACAGGCAGCATAATGTTCTCCGCGACTTCTCCAGACCCTTTCACGTCTGTCACATGTGCTCAGGGTGAACCTGCTATCATCTGTGAACAGCACAGGGAGCCAGTGGTGGACCTGCCAATTCTGGTGTTCAATGGCAAATGCAAATTGTGCTTTATGGTGCCAGGCAGGGAGCACAGGGCCCACTAGAGGACATCGGGCCCTCAAGCCACCCTCATGAAGTCTGTTTCTGATTGTTTGGTCAGAGACATTCACACCAGTGGCCTGCTGGAGGTCATTTTGTAGGGCTCTGGCAGTGCTCATCCTGTTTCTCACATAAAAGAGCAGATATCAGTCCTGCTGATGGGTTAAGAACCTTCTATGGCCCTGTCCAGCTCTCCTAGAGTAACTGCCTGTCTCCTGGAATCTCCTCCATGCTCTTTAGACTGTGCTGGGAGACAAAGTAAACCTTCTGGCAATGGCATGTATTGATGTGCCATCCTGGAGGAGTTGGACTGCCTGTGCAACCTCTGTAGGGTCCAGGTATGGCCTCATGCTGCCAGTAGTGACACCGACCCTAGCCAAATGCAAAACTAGTGAAAAACAGTCAGAAAAGCTGAGTAGGGAAAAAATGTCAATGGCCTCCACTTGATAAACCATTCCTGTTTTGGGGATTGTCTCATTGTTACCCATCTAGTGTACCTGTTGTTAATGTCATTAACACCAAAGCAGCTGAAACTGATTAACAACCCCCTCTGCTACTTAACTGACCAGATCAATATCCCAGGAGTTTCATTGACTTGAAGCTATACTCTGATTAAAAAGTCTTCCTTTATTTTTTCTGAGCAGTGTAGTATCCTTCATATCAATCAAATGAATTTAGCAGCTCTTTACAATGGTGCTTTACTCAATTTAGAAAACATTGCAGCTTGTTTTTAAAGTCTGAGCTCATCAGAAGTAAGCAGAAGTGTTGATATAGCTACAGGTGTTGGGATTACTTTTTTCACGGCAGATGATCCTCTGTTGCACTTTGCTTGCTGTGGTAACACTTATCTCTTCTGGGTTGTATGTTTTTGCCCAAATTAACTTAATTTGTTAGTAAGCGAGAGGTTGACAGTGATTATTCATATGATGTCTTGTATCTGTGTCTTATATGTGTCATCCTTGGGATTTCTGTACAGTCTAGTAATGGATATCTTCTGTTGGACAGGGGGCAATTACAATATATGAACAGTGCCCAAAAAGCAACTACGGCTTCTATTGTACCAAGAAGACCAGCTGTAAGAGCTGTGCCATGGACCAAAACTGCCAGTGGGAACCACGCAATCAGGAGTGCATTGGGCTGCCAGGTAGTATATCACAGCTTTTTTTGTTTTTGTGCTAAGTAGCTATGTCTAGCCTCTTAACTTTCAAATATTTGCGGGTTTCTTACAAAACAGGCTTTTCAGAACCATCACTTCCCCTATAGCTGTAGACACTGTGGAGCAATTTATCCTAAAAGTTTGTAGCAGATTTTCATTTTCTCTTCATTCTTCTCCCCATCCCAGCAGTGACCCTCTTCCTTTGTTTGCCTAGATAGGGCTAAGGTATGATAAAGGAAATCTGTAATTAGAGAAATATGAGGACTTCCGTGCCTGATCGAAAAACAACAAAGTAGGTGTCTGCCTTTCTCATTAGATACAGTGGGGATCGAAAGTTTGGGCACCCCAGCTAAAAATTTGTATTAATGTGCATAAAGAAGCCAAGGAAAGATGGAAAAATCTCCCAAAAGGCATCAAATTACAGATTAGACATTCTTATAATATGTCAACAAAAGTTAGATTTTATTTCCATCATTTACACTTTCAAAATAACAGAAAACAAAAAAATGGCGTCTGCAAAAGTTTGGGCACCCTGCAGAGTTAATATCTTGTACTGCCCCCTTTGGCAAGTATCACAGCTTGTAAACGCCTTTTGTAGCCAGCCAAGAGTCTTTCAATTCTTGTTTGAGGTATCTTTGCCCATTCTTCCTTACAAAAGTCTTCCAGTTCTTTGAGATTTCTGGGCTGTCTGTCACGCACTGCTCTTTTAAGGTCTATCCATAGATTTTTAAATTATGTTAAGGTCAGGAGATTGTGAAGGCCATGGCAAAACCTTCAGTTTACGCCTCTTGATGTAATCCCCTGTGGATTTCGAGGTGTGTTTAGGATCATTATCCATTTGTAGAAGCCATCCTCTCTTTAACTTCAGCTTTTTCACAGATGGCATCAAGTTACCATCCAAAATTTGCTGAAATTTTATTGAATCCATTTTTCCTTCAACTCGTGAGATGTTCCCTGTGCCACTGGCTGCAACACAACCCCAAAGCATGATTGATCCAACCCCATGCTTAACAGTTGGACAGAGGTTCTTTTCATTAAATTCTGTGCCCCTTCTTCTCCAAACGTACCTTTGCTCATTCCGGCCAAAATGCATCAGGCTTGTCTATGTTCATTTGCAAAGTTCAAACGATGATTTTTGTGGTGAGGACGTAGAAGAGGTTTTCTTCTGATGACTCTTCCATGAAGACCATATTTGTACAAGTATCTCTTTATAGTGGAATAGTGTACCACAACTCCAGTGTCTGCCAGATCTTTCTGGAGGGATCGTGCAGTCAAACGTGGGTTTTGAATTGTTTTTCTCACAATCCTGCGAGCTGTTCTGTCTGATATTTTTCTTGGTCTTCCAGATCTTGGTTTAACTTCCACTGTTCCTGATGACTGCCATTTCTTAATCACATTCCGAACAGAGGATATTGACATCTGAAAATGCTTTGCTATCTTCTTATAGCCTTCTCCAGCTTGTGATGGTCAACTATTTTCAGTTTCAGTTTTCTAGACAACTGCTTAGAAGAACCCATGGTGCTGATTGTTGGGGCAAGGTCAGATGAGTCTGGGCATTTAAAACCTTTGAAATTGACATAACCTGGTCTTCCCAGACGATGATTGAGAACAATCCACCACACTGGCAGGTCTCAGCTTGGCAAAGGGGGCAGTGCATGCTATAAATTCTGCAGGGTGCCCAAACTTTTGCAGACGCCATTTTTTTGTTTTCTGTTATTTTGAAAGTGTAAATGATGGAAATAAAATCTAACTTTTGTTGACATATTATAAGAATGTCTAATCTGTAATTTGATGCCTTTTGGAGATTTTTCCATCTTTCCTTGGCTTCTTTATGCACATTAATACAAATTTTTAGCTGGGGTGCCCAAACTTTCGATCCCCACTGTATGTGCTTGTTGGCAATATTTGGTTGTACAGTAGTACTCTCTCCAGCACTAATGCTGGAAAGGTCACTTGAAAGTTGAAATTTGCATGCTCCCTTAGCCCCTCTATAAATGCTTTATATTCTTGACAGTCTGAAATGTATAGTCGGAGAACGTATGCAATAGAGAGACCACTTGCCATGGGCTTTTGATTTTTCTCCAGACTTGAGCACACCTTGCTATTCGTTCTGTCACCATATACTTAGTGTTTTGGGAACTCTAGATGCTGAACATGCATTTTTTGCAGGCAACAAATTCCCAGTTCCTCCTTGATCTTTTAGAAATAAATCACATACTGCTCTCAACCAAGCTGCAGTTTGCAGAGAGTGCTACCTGCTGAAAATGTCGACTGGGAAGGTAGATTTTCTGCTGGTGAAGTGTATTGAGCCTGACTACCTCTAAAGCAGGGTATGCACACAGGGTTTTTTTTTTTTTTTTTTTTTTGTTCAATGTAGAAAAAAAACTCAGATTCCTGCATCCATGCAAGCAAGTGGATGCAGGGATCTCCCCCGCTGCTCTGTTTTTCTGACAACAGGGACTCCCGCCTTCCCCCCTCATCAGAATACTCATCAGTGATGCAGCAGCTGATCAAATGCTGGACCGTTCAACAGAAGCTGGTCTAATAAACAGCTATTTTTTGAACAGACAGGGCTACACGTACCGAAATTGGACTGGTTCCTGCTGGACTAGCCAAATCTCGATACGTGTATACCCAGCTTAATCCATTTTTGGTCTTTCTTGTGATTGCCCGCTTTGTCTGCCTATGTGAAGCACCTCAGGCCTTCTAAGCTGCAAAGTGAGTTGGCAGAGGTGTGCGCTCTGCGTGTCCTGCTTATTGATTGGCACAAAGTCATGGCAGTTAGTATAGGAGTTCTGGTTTTATTCACAGTTCTAGAAAGCATCTGCCCACAGGAGAACGCCAGAATTATGTCTACACAATTAGCTGCAAGGTCGGCTGGGACTAGTATTTCCATATACTGCAAGAGCAGTTTGTGATAAACGCTCACAAATTGGCATTGTTTAAATTTCAGGGCTGCTGCTGTATTCCATCATTCCATCCCAAATTATTATGTAAAGCGCTGTGCAACCTGTTGGCGCTATATAAATCTTGTATTATAATAATATTAGAGGTTAATTATCTATTACACTGCGCTTCTTGCACAGTTTTCAATGACTACCCTCTACCGATTTTTTTCTCACGTTAGGCCTTAAAGTGATACTAAAGGTTCAGTTTTTAAAAAAAAAAAAAAAAATTACAAACATGTCTATACTTATTTGCTTTGTGCAGTAGTTTTGTACAGAGCAGTCCGGATCCTCCTCTTCTTGAGTGCCCTACTGACGCTCCCCCTTCCTGTCGGGTGCCCCGATAGCAAGCTACTTGCTATGGGGGCACCTGAGCATGCGTGCTCCTGAGTCACTGCCCCAAGTGTCCATTCAAATGTACAATCCAAACGCACACGTTCCTGCGTTAAAAATGGGCTGTGTGTGTATAAGTGGGTGCTGCAGTGACCGTCGGCTGGAACCGAACAAAATCAGCAAGTTACATAGTTACAGCAAGGCAATGTTTCGGAGTCTCGCAGGACCCCTTCATCAGGCATGTGACATGTCACATGCCTGATGAAGGGGTCCTGTGAGACTCCGAAATGTTGCCTTGCTGTAACTATGTGATCGTTTATTAAAACCTTTGGACCCATATTGGTGATCCTCGGTGTGCTGGTGACATTTTTTCCAAGTGTCCATTCACACACGGAGACGTGACTCGGCCCCACCCCCTTTTATTTTTTCATTGACTGTGATTGACAACAGCATGAGCCAATGGCTCCCACTGCTGACTCAGCCATTGAAGAGGCAGAGTATTAGGGGGGCTGGAAGGACTGTTGCACAGAGAAGGTTTTTTACCTTCATGCCTAGAATGAGCCTTTACAACTGCTGTAATAGTATCCTTCAGAGGTAAGACTGTACTATTATAACGGTTTTAAAGAGGAGGTTTTAAAATTTCATACTTCAGTTTGAACAACTGCAACTTATTGCTTTTTTTTTTAATCATCTGCAAATTTTTTGATTTGTGATCCCTTTAGAAAACATTTGTGGAGCAAACTGGCACCTTGTGGAAAGTTCTTGTTTGAAAATCGCCATCACTAAGGAAAACTACGACAACTCCAAATTGGCCTGCCGCAATCAGAATGCTGCACTGGCCTCTCTCACCACACAGAAGAAAGTGGAGTTTGTGGTGAAACAGCTGCAGAACATGCAGGTAATTATTATTATAACTTTAATAGACCGCACTGCCAAGTGTTACAGTATCTTGAATGTAATGACTGCATGCACCAGCAAATTAGTTTCTTCATGCGAGAGGAAGGTATGAAGATGACAGGAGGTTTTCAGTGAATAAATGTGAGGTCTAAATAAGAGTGTAGAACTCAATCTCCATTGTGAAATGGAGAAGAGAACTGCAACTCAGAATCTCTCATACCATAAATTCTGATCTCAATGGTCTCGGTGGCTTCAAAACCCTAACTGCTCTGTCAAGTGACTTATGTAATAGCATAATAATATACTACAGACAATTCACCCGACTAGTGCCTCCCTTCCTCCCTCACCCCCCTCCTCCCTCCACTCGTTATCACACTTCCAACCTTAGAAGGTCCATAAAGAATTGAGTATACCTCTCATGTTTCCATGGTCGTGCTTTATCGTCCCCAGCCAAATGGTGGGGACTTGTCTTTTTCTTTTTTGAATATGTGTTTATTTTCCTGCTGACACAGTTTATTGTATATACCGCTCAGTTCTTATCTTCCTTGTGGCTTGTGATAACATGTTTGTTAAAAATATTTTAATCAAAATATTTGAATATAAATAAAAGTGTAATATCTCTAAGCTTGGAGCTTTGGGCTGTAGGGCTATGAAGGGGATGTCTACAGTAGTTCGTATATTGGGGAGGAAAGTGGAAGGAGATGGCAGAAATCTGGCTTTATCTGCCAGATTTACAATTCTGTTTAGTTGGTCTTGTAGTTCACAAATCTCTGCCTTGCCGATTCACAAAAATCTTCCCATGGCCCATGCTCTACAATCCCCATCCTGTCCAATTGATCATGAACCAGCATCATATGCTCTGTTCAGACAGCTAACCGAGGAGGTTGTATAACTGAAACCCTTGTTAGCTGTGCAGTTTGGCAGAGACATGTGAATCGCAAAACCCGATGAACATTAGTAAAGCATATTATTTACCAGTTTTTCACAGAACGGTTAAAATATAAACCTGTGTTTTCTCTTTTACATAAAACATGTGTGTTTCCAAAGATATCTCCATTTTTGTTGCAGCCAAAGACTGAGCTCACACCCTGGGTTGGACTCAGGAAGATCAATGTGTCCTACTGGTGCTGGGAGGACATGTCACCTTTTACCAACACCACACTCCAGTGGCAGGCTGGGGAGCCCAGTGATGCTGGCTTTTGTGCATACCTGGCTGAACCATCAGCCACAGGTCTGAAAGCAGCGACCTGTATCCACCCAATCAATGGCAGTGTCTGTGAAAGACCAGGTGAGAGCAGAGGGCAAAGTGGTTAATAATGAAGAGTAACAGATTGATCCCTCCTTGGTCCTAGTATTTAAATAAATGGCTTTAAGCAAATCCTTTCCTTTTGGGCCCATTTTCCTGATACGTAGTGATAACATGCAGTAAGTCTTCTGGAATATCTGCTAAAATGGCCTCTGTCCTTTTCCAAAAAAGCAGAGTAAGCAGTTGCTTATTTGGTTGCTGTGGTTTACTGAATCCTTTTTCTGTTTCATATTTGCTTTGACTTGCTCTGTAGTTTTGGATTCTGTACTGAGTTTCCTGTTTTTGTATATATTATGGGAGAGGGATATACAGTAAATCGTGTTATTTTTATGAAGCATCAACTTTGCCATTGTTAATGTTTTTTGACTGATGCAATCTGTCCAACTATTCTGACCTGCAGCTAATCACAGCGCCAAGCAATGCCGGACTCCTTGTGCCTCCAGGTCGCAGTGTTCAGAGTGTACCAGTGCCAGCTCTGAGTGCATGTGGTGCAGTAATATGAAGCAATGTGTGGACTCCAATGCTTATGTTGCCTCTTTCCCCTTTGGACAGTGTATGGAATGGTACACAATGAGCAACTGTCCACGTACGTATATATGTTCTATATCCTCTCTCTGGTGCAACACAAAATGTTAGCAGACTTTAGCTGATTGAAGAAAATGCCTTCTCCCTCTCGCTCTCTCCTATGCGTGTGACTGAGATGGCCATAAATATGTATGATTGGAGGATAAAAAGATTAAGGCCTCATTCGCACCATACGCACTGAAAATTTGATGGAAAGTGACATGCAGATTTCAGTGTTGTGGTGTGAACAGGGCACATAGAGTACAATTGATTTTATTGTGTCCTTGCAGAACGCGTTCAGAAAACTGACATCTCTGCACCATGATGTGAACGAGCCTTAAAGGATACGTTCATCTGTGGATTTTGTTAACACCCATATTTAGGGCGTAATGTATTCCAGTACCTGCTGCACTCACCTCTTCCCCTGTGACAGCAGTTGCGGGGTTCAATTCCTCTACAGCTCTGCTGACACAGGCTTCTCATTCATTCACAGGGAACTGTGAATGAATAAACTACAAGTCCCATCTGCCACCACAGAAGATGGACTTGTAGTTTCAATGGACTGCAGCAATGAGAATGTCTGTGCTGAGGTACAGACAGAAGGCATGAAGAACTTACCTGCAGGAGTCTGATATTGCACCCGCAATCCACTGATCGCGGATGCAATGCTTTGCAGGCTACTGTAGGAAAAAAATAAATGCAGTGTTTTTTTTTTTTTTTAAATTAATGTTTTTCCTGAAAGATGAGCTTGGCCTTTAAAGACACTTTACTTGCTCTATTAGGTCAGGGCAACAATAAAGACCACATTATACTCATCATTCCTGCACTTTCCGGTACTTTCTGTCGCCGCTACAGAGGGAATGACATCTCTCCTTCTTGTGATCATACTCAATTGGCTGCTAGGCCTGAGCACTGCATCATGAGATCAGGTCACGTTCTATCCAATAACTGGAAGCACCAAGTAATTTACAGTGAAGTATTTTACTGTAGAGGCCACAGAAGTAGGGACCGGGGGGGAGTGCTACAAAAGTGAGTGGTCTGGACTGAGCTTAACACAAACACTGTAGCATTCCCCCAACTTGGCACAATTAAGATGTCTCTTTAAAGATGGCCACACATGTTACACAATCTCTGAATGTATTCATTGGTTTATCTAATGCAAGGACCTACCTAAACAATCCGATAGTCAACCAGGAAGGCCCACACATTAAATGGCTTAAAGTAAGGGTACACTCAGACTTTTGGGCTGGTCTGTTTGTGTACCGTGAGTGCTCTGAGTCTCCCCCTAGACCACTTGGAACAGGTGGTCCTGGGCACGATTCACTTGTCATCTGGTATGGTTTGCTTCAGTGTAAGTGCAAACTGTGCACAGTTTTCTATAGAGAATTGTGTAGTGAAACAGGGATTTTAGGTCTAGTTAGCAGAGAGAGTGTGCCCAGGAACACTTCCTTACAAACTAGGGTGAGTGCAAACTGGTAGGGGGAGAATCGAACTTGGGAACAGTTCCGTTGTCCTGACCCGAGTGTGAGTACACCCTAAATATAGATGATATTGTACAGTCAGATTACAACAGGTTTCATCAACTTTACTGCTTTATGTATACAAAGATACATAGGTACAAAGGCTTATAGATCGCTAATCCTTTTTGGGCGAATGGAAGAAATACAGTTGGGTCCTTATATATTTGGACATAGGCACAATTTTAGTTTTTTTTTTTCAGGTATTTACCAAGCAATATTCAAACTATAGTTATAGAATGGATATGGGCTGAAAGTGCGCACTTTCTGGTTTAATTTGAGGATATGTACATCCAAATTGGAGGAAGGGTTTAGATTGTAATCTGAGTGGCCAGCAGTTTTGTAGTATAAGAGCATATCTGATTGGATGTAAATTGAATTAAAGTGTTACTAAACCCACAACAGTAAATCAGTCTGCTTATGCAGGAAAGTAAATATCTCCTGATAGAACAGAGGTTTGGAGTCACTCTGCACATGCTCAGTTTGATGTGTATTGCTATAGAGGTTTTTTTTTTTTTTTCTTGGGAGAGTGCATGTGATCAGCACAGGGCCAATCAGCACTGTCCAGACAGAGAGTCAGGGGTCCTGTATCCTCCTAGCGGATAATGAAAACTCCTCCTACAAGCTTTAACCAGTGCTCTGCTGGACACTGATAGAAGTCACAACTGCTGATGAGAAAATGTTTTTAGCAGTTTATTTTTACTAAAATAATTGCATTTCCATGTGTACTGTGGGAGACCAGATATAGTGCATGCAGAGCCCTGAGTTTAGTAACACTTTAATTACGTAGGTGGGATCTTATACTATATAGTGGTGGTTTAATTTAAAAGGCATTATTGGTGATTGGGGTTGCAAATGACATTTTAACCTCTATCACCATATTCCCTCCCTCTTCAGCTTTATGCACTAGCAATGCTGGGTGTTCTGTGCACAGTATGGAAACGCAAACCACTACATGACACTTCAACATATACTAAACCTTCATCACCTGAAGATCTGAGTACCATGTTCACCTCCCTTCCAACGCCTTGTGTTTACTGTCACACTACAAGTAATCTTTGTGTTTCAGCACATGGACAGTCATAAAAGTTGAGCACTTGCCCAGTTGAAGAGTAAAGTGCATTTGCCAGCAGCAGCCAATTAGAATAAATATTTATTGACTTAAGTAAAATTATACTTGGTGGGTTGTTATGCAGATTAATTATAAAAGAGTCTGGAATACAAAATGCTGTGTTTCTCCACTACTACACAGTTTCCTCAAATGACTTTTTTTTTCTTCTCCACCCACAGCAGAGAACTGTTCCGGGTATCGGACATGTGTGCAGTGTCTGGAGCAACCTGGCTGTGGCTGGTGTACGGACCCCAGTAATACGGGCAAAGGACAGTGTATGGAGGCCTCGTACCGCGGACCAATGAAACTGCCTACTGGCTCAACAACTGCTAAGCCCAGCTACTCTGAGCCAGTCCTGGATGTCAGCATGTGTCCTGCAGAGAACCATTACAACTGGTCTTTTATCATGTGTCCAGGTATCTAAACAAAACTATATGAACGGTCAGAATACCACATGACTGAATTTCCTATGAAATGATCAGTCCCCTAAAACTGCTATTTTTGTAAGGTGCAGGAGAGTTAAGCCACTTGTCATTTTCTTATCTTTCATGGATTGTTTTGTGAGATTTCTTTGCTGAGCTCTTGGATATGCCCTTTTTTTGAGACCATTATTACAGGTTTCCTCTCCTGTTAGGCTGGAAAGTGGACGGCAGGTCAAACCCTAGCTAAGCTTAAATCTACTCCCACCCCCATTCTAAGCCTATTCTGTCTGCTCTGTAAAAGGAAAGATGACATACTCGTCTATTCTAAAGTCGCTTTGGTACAGTCGCATGACCTGGGCCCAGTGCCGGCTTCAGTGTGTAGAGGAGGGAAAGCCGAAAACCGATGCCCCATAGTATGCCTTTGGGTGGTGTCATCCCCCAAGCTCTTCAGCCATTGTCAGTGATCTCTCATCGTCACTGAAGATGGCTCTGGAGAAATCATGTGACCAAACCAGGGCGACTTCAGAATAGGTAAGCTTTACTTTTTACGGGGTAGAAAGAATAGGCTTTCTATGGGGTGGAGTAGATTTGAGCTCAGTTATGGTTTGACTTGCCTTCCACTTTAATTTTATCTTCTATTTATGGAGAATGTAACAGGAGGAGCTGGAATGCACAAATTTGGCCAGGAACACTTAAAACGTCCAGTGGATAGGCGCAGAGTCGGGAAGTATGGTTTCTCGCTGTTGGCGTTTTCAAGCCCTTTAAAGAGTCGAGGGCTGACTCAGCCCACCATGCTCCACCTGTAACTAAAATGTCTCGCTTGAGTGGGCTGACCCTTTAAAGTTACACTGTAGGTCAATTTACAATGGCATATAACCAAAGTTTTTATTTTGTTTTTTTTGTAAATATAAATCTTCTCCTTTAGTTAAATTTAAAAGGTCTAAAAACACCTGTATGGTAGTCTAGACATGCCCTAAATCCAGTTATTATGAGGTGCACAAGCCTCATAGAGTAAACCAAAGAAACATCCTTCAACTACACTGACTGAGCCAAACCTTCCTTCATTTGTCTCTTACACGTCCCCTACAACATACTGCAGCTCACAGTGGGAAGGTTCCAGCAACAAAGGCAGTCCAGAAAGCAGTGGCATAAAAAGTTGTGGCCATGTGAAGACTGCCAAACCACAGGCTTGTGAATCAGCTGGTGACAATGTTGATAGCCATGCCCCCCCCCCCGTCAGTGCTCTCGTAGTTCATTGAGAACTACAAGCCATCCGTTGCAACGGAAGATGGAACTTGTAGTTTATTCACAGATCTCTGTGAATGAATGATGTAGCTGTGTGGATGGAGCCCCGCATAGCTGTGCCAATGTTAAAATTTGACAGAGGGTGTGGGGCAGAGGAACCCCCACTTACTGTCTCAAAGCAGGGGTGGCACTGCTTTAACATCTTACACCCTATACGGGTGTAACATGTAATATGAGTGCTTTCACCAATGTACTAGGATCCTTCTCTGCTAATCAGCAATGTAAAGGGTTTCTTCTCCCACTGACCACCCATGTAAGGGGATCCTTCCCACAAAATATCAATGTAAAGTGGTCCTTCTCCCACTGACCACCAATGTAAAGTGGTCCTTCTCCCGCTGACCACCAATGTAAAGTGGTCCTTCTCCCACTGGCCACCAATGTAAAGTGGTCCTTCTCCCACTGGCCACCAATGTAAAGTGGTCCTTCTCCCACTGGCCACCAATGTAAAGTGGTCCTTCTCCCACTGGCCACCAATGTAAAGTGGTCCTTCTCCCACTGGCCACCAATGTAAAAGGGGTTCTTCTCCCTCTGACCACAGTGTCACTGTCCACCATGTATGGGAGAACCTTTCCATAGACCACCAATGTAAAAGGGACCTTCTCCCTCTGACCACAGTGTTCACTGTCCATCATGTATGTGTGAACCTTTTCACAGACCACCGATGTAAGGGAACAGTACCATTTTTATTGTCAGTCTTTCTTTTCTGGCCATTTATAAATATTTGTTTTGTTTTTCATTATTATTACTAAAACTATTTTTGTTATATTGTGCAATACTGGGTGTGAAATACTTTTGTAGGTCACATTCCTTATTCTTTTCTATAGCTCGGCTTACTGTTCATGTCAATGTGCCCTACACAGTAGATCTAGTAATTAGTAGAAGGGGATCTGTGGGACCTGAGAGTTATTTCAAAGATTCCTCCATGTTAAAGGGTTTGAGAGAGGCTGCTCTAAATTAACTGGCCATGAGTCCTAAAGATGTAGTTCTACTTAGGTAAACCTTTATAAATGGATAATGAATTTCTCTTCTGTCTGACAGCCGAGCCTCTTTGTTTCACGAAGGTGGAGACTGCATGTGACACGCAAATGATACACAAATGTAGAGTATGAGGAAGTAGAGCATGGCTTCGGGTGTTGCATCTGTCCTACATTTTGCATATAGTTTGTGTATTTGGTTTCCTCCGTAGAGAGCTGTCGCAATATTCTATTATGGATGTGAAGTTTCTGTGTGTTGTCTTTTTAGCCTGCCAGTGTAACGGACACAGCAAGTGCATCAACGAGAGTATCTGTGAAAAGTGCGAGAACCTGACCTCCGGCAAGAACTGCGATACCTGCATCTCTGGTTACTATGGAGACCCAACCAATGGGGGATCATGTCAGCGTGAGTACCGCAATGTCCGGCATCACTGCAGGTTACAGCACTTAAAATTCTAACACACACCGGGGCCTTTTTATAAGTAAGAGTAAATATTTGTTTTATTTCTTCGAGCTTCGCTCTTTCGATGTAGGGTGGAACCCCAGGCAGTCTGCCAAATTTAGAATTCAAGTTCATGTATGTTTGTGGTTTAACCTAGCAAAGGATTCGTCTTTTTTTTTTTTTTTTTTTCTCTCTAACCAGTTTTGTGATACACACCTCTGCCAGTCAGTATTATTACTCTGATACTTCTAGTTTGACTGTGTTTCCTAGGTCAGCTACATGCTCACTGAGCAGAAGTGATGGTGCTAATTTACTGTTCAGTAATAGTGTGTGAGTGTGTGAGTGTGTGAGCGGGGGGGGGGGGGGGGGGGGGTAAGCCACAAGCCTTACTCAGGAAGTAAACATGTTACTTGTCTGGTTAGGCAATGTTGAAATCATAAAATTGGCTGACCAGAATTACAAATCATTTGTAAGTTAAAAGCCAATTATAGCCACCATTTCTATTATAGTTCTATTATAGTTCTGGGCAGCACAGTGGCTAAATGGTTAGCACTTCCAGGCAGGTGGAAGTGCTAACCATTTAGCCACTGTGCTGCCCAGAACTATAATAGAAATGGTGGCTGTAATTGGCTTTTAACTTACAAATGATTTGTAATTCTGGTTTGGTTCGAATCCCAACCACAGCACCACCTGCCTGCAGTTTGCATGTTCTCCCTGTGCCTGCGTGGGTTTCCTCAGGGTACTCCGGTTTCCTCCCACACTCCAAAGACATGCTGATAGGTTGATTGGATCCTGTCTAAATTGTCCCCAGTATGTGTATGTATCAATGTGAATTAGGGACCTTAGATTGCACGCCCCTTGAGGGTTAGGGACTAATGTAAATGTACAATATATATATGTAAATCGCTGCGTAAATTGAAAGCGCTATAGAAGTACCTGAAATAATAGTTCTGGACAGTGTGGGGAAGAGTTACAACTCATGTTGGGATTTTATTGCTCTGTGTCCTTGATTGGGAGATTTTTCCTTACTTGTGGTCCCGATAATGCTGCCTCAAGGACAAAAATTGAGAGAAAATCTTTCCAGTGGTGACACAGCATTAAAAACATTTTTTGCAAGCAGTGCAAGTACCTGAATTTGACTCTACATTAGCATCTTGCAGTTTTATTCACAGCAGAGCTCAGACTGCATGAGGGAGAAGCACCACAAAGAATCAGTTGTGCTGCTGTGCTCATGTGCTAATAGGTAGTATAATGGTAGGAGAGAGCAGAGAAATGAGCGTATAAATCTGCTTCTCTTTTCAAAATCTAGTTACAGGAATGGACAAGTAAGTTTTACCGAACTGTAGCAGAGAATAATCAGGTCTCCTGCCCTGTAGGACAGGGCTGTGCTGTGTTTTGAGCTGCATAAATCTCAGAAGTGGATGTACAGAAATAAAATGTAGGGAGGGAAAATATTTCAGGATAAGAAACGGGAATGCACAGTTAAAGAATATAATGGATGGGGGGAATATTTGCTCCTTTCAGGAGTTAAAAAAAAAAAAAAAAAAATAGGAAAAAAAGGAGTTTTTATGTTAAATAAATGGCGATATCTTCAGTTAAAACATTTCATGGTAATGCTCCCTGAGCCCTTAAGATCAATGATGGATTTAAATCCATTAGAACAACTATTTCATAGAAATAAAACATGGAAACATGGGACCTCTCGGATTTATACAATTCTTACCGAAATAACAGAAGTTACCCTCTTTTGTACATGGAGAAGTGGGAAAGGGAACTTGGAATATTGTTTGATGAGCAACAGAAAAAGGAAATATTTAGATTAGCACATGGAGCGGTAGATATGAGGGTGGTGGAAATGAACTACAAATGTTTGGCTAGGTGGTATATTACACCAAGCAGGGGTGTATTTACCACAAGGCAAACAAGGCATTTGCCTAGGGCGGCATTTTTCAGGGGGGGCAGCACCGCTCCCCTGGAAGAAGGGACACGTGCGGTTTGGGGACCAGGTGGGATCTGAGAGAGGCTGAGGGCTGCTTGACTCTCGTTCCCGGGGATGTCCACAACTATGAAGTCGAGTGTCTTCCTCTCTCTCACTGGGAGGGGAGTGGCTGGTGTATGGGGGTGATGGTAGTGGAAGGCTCTCTCGGGTGTGGGGGGGGGAAAGGGGGCAGGGGTGTTATTGGTCAATATCAGGCTCTCTCCGGGGGGGTGTCAATTGTGTGCCTAGGGCAGCACAAAACCTTAATACACCACTGACACCAAGTGTGGCACATAAACAACAAATAGATAAATCACTTTTATGTTGGAGAGGATGTGGGATGAATGACACAATGGCACATATATGGTGGGAGTGTCCCAAAATTCAGGAGTATTGGGGAGAAACAAGTTATCAAATTCAGGAGATAACGGGGATTGATGTCCCAAAAGAACCCAGGCACATGCTTATTCCATAAAACTGACTACAGTAGAAAAATATAAGCACTCAATGGTATTTCATTTGATAAATGCGGCAAAGGGATTGATACCTAAATTGTGGCAGGAACAGGAAGCACCAAAAATAAAAGGTTGTATATGTAGAGTTGACTATGTGTACAAGATGGAGGAACTCTACCACTTGGAAGAAGATAGAATGGAGAGATTCAGAGAAAGGTGGGAGAAATGGGATACGTTTAAAGAGCAATTCAAAGAATACACAAAATAGCTGAAATAGGAAAAATAGAGAATAGAAAGGAAGGAGAAGGGTTTCTAAGGAGAAAACATGGGGAGTAGACTGGGGAAGAGGGGGGAGGGAATGAGAGGGTGGAGATTTTTTAGAATGAAAATATATAAGGAAATGGTTTATTTGTGAATTTTTTTGTTACTTTATTGATGTACCGTATTTTTTTGCTCCATAAGACGCACCTGACCACAAGACGCGCCTAGGTTTTAGAGGAGAAAAACAAGAAAAAAAATATTCTGAACCAATGGACTGCAGACACAGTACAGGGGATGACCAGAGACTGTGGACACAGAACAGGGGATGACCAGAGACTGCAGACATAGTACAGGGGATGACCAGAGACTGCAGACATAGTACAGGAGATGACCAGAGACTGCGGACATAGTACAGGGAATGACCAGAGACTGCGGACACAGAACAGGGGATGACCAGAGACTGTGGACACAGTACAGGGGATGACCAGAGACTGCGGACACAGTACAGGGGATGACCAGAGACTGCAGACATAGTACAGGGAATGACCAGAGACTGCAGACATAGTACAGGGAATGACCAGAGACTGCGGCACAGTACAGGGAATGACCAGAGACTGCGGACACAGTACAGGAGATGACCAGAGACTGCAGACATAGTACAGGGAATGACCAGAGACTGTGGACTTCCGCGGAGTTGTCCTTCCTTCTTCCCGCGGCGGCCTCTGTGACAGCCGGGTGCCCACTGCGCGTGCGCGAGAAGCGCTGCGCTTTGTGAATGGCCCGGAGCCTTCTGGGACCTGGTGTTGTGTCCCAGAAGACGCCGGACCATTCACAAAGCGCAGCGCTTCTCGCACATGCGCAGTGTGCACCCGGCTGTCACAGAAGCCTCCGCGGGAAGACTGCAGCGCTGGAGCGAGGAACAGGTAAGGTCCTGCAGGAGAGAAGAGCTGAGCGGCCGGCCTGATATTCTGACATGGTGGCGGCAGAAATACCGGACCGGGCGCTTTACATTCGCTCCATAAGACGCACTCACATTTCCCCCCCTTTTTTTGGGGGAAAAAAGTGCGTCTTATGGAGCAAAAAATACGGTAAATTGATTTATTGAAAATTAATAAAATATATATTAAAAAAAAAAGAAATACAATCTAGGTTAAACAGTTTTTGTACATCACCTATGTATTTATTTGTTTGCCTGGAGTTTCGCGTTAATTCTAACTTGGGTGTCCTCCACTTTGTACAATTTTGACAATGAAAGTTGCAAGCACATTTTGCAGTAGAAGAAAAATGGTTGCGAAGTCGGCAAAATATGTATGCGAGTTGATGGGGGAACAAAATAATCCTCTAGTTTTGCTCCTCTCTAGCTTGCTGACAATGAAATCAAAGCTTATGCCTGGAGTAGAGGGTGTAAATTCTCAGCTAAATAAACAGCCATAAAGTGTTAGAAGTGGGTTGGCCTATTTTTGCCTTTTTCCTTTACATGGTGGAAAACATGCAGAGCAGGGGTCTTCATACTACAGCCTATGGATCAAATCCCAGTCCGCCAAAATTTGACCGGCCCTCTAATGTAAAAGAGAACCCTGATGGGAACCCTGGTGCAAGGATGAGCTCTGATGGGGCATCTGTCATGTAAGGGGGGACTCTGATGAGCTCAAGTTTATTTGGAATTTCTTTGTTTTACTGAAGTTTTTTTTCTGATTGTTTCAAATCATATCATACCAAAAAAAAATGAATAAAACAATGTGACCTTTACACTGAAAAGGTTGGAGACCCCTGATGTACAGGAATTACCCAAAGCAGCTTGATAAATTGACAATATTGTGAAAACATGGCAGCATATTTATGTAATCCTTTTCAAGATATATTTTTTGTCCCCTTTACTCATACTTGTCTGTTTGTTCTACAACAGCCTGCAAATGCAACGGTCATGCCTCGATGTGCAACACCAACAGTGGCAAATGTTTCTGTACCACCAAAGGGATTAAAGGAGACGAGTGCCAGCTGTGAGTACCATAATATATGTCGACATATTCTGATTTGTTTCTGTGCAGCAGGATGCAGAGAGTTCTATAGACCAGTGGTCTCCAAACTGCGGCTTGGGGGCTGGTATGGCCCTTTGCTTGTCTTTATCTGGCCTTTGGGGCACTATTCAACCAACAGCAATGATGGGGCACCATTTCTCCCAGTGACACCATCACTGGTGCTATTCTCATAGACTGTCAGCTCTAAAGAGCAGGGCCCTCTGCTTCTTCTTGTACCGAATTGTATTGTAACTGTAATGTCTATTTTCATTTTGTATAGTGCTTTGCAAACTGTTGGCACTATATAAATCCTGTATTATAATAATAATATTCTTCCCTCTGAAACCAACATTAGGGCCTTATTGTTGCTAATTCAAACCAACGATGGGGCATTTTTTTACTCCACTGGCCACAGTCTGTTCCCCTACTAAAGCCTGAAGGACAGTAAACTGACCCTTTGCTTAGAAAGTTTGGAGCCCCCTGCTATAGACTGTCATAGAGCTTTTCCATTGTCGTCATCTTCAGTCCTCTGATCCTGCTGGAGGACAAAAGTGGACTAAAGGCAAGTTCTTCAGTATAAATAAACTCAGTTTCAAGTTGGCTGCAGAAATTAGGTGATCACTTTTTTTTTTTGTACAAAAGCTCATTCTGCAAACATGAATGTTCACATTAGGTGAATGTAAATGAATTGCCTGTGAAGGAAGGAGAAGCATTTGGATACCAGCTTGTCTTTAGGGAAAATATCATTCATCCAGGAAAACTTTAACCTGGCAGCATGCATAGTCTTCCCAGAATTTGTGTTGACGGAATGTCCTTTTTTCCCCCCAAAGATATGTTTATTGAAGTTTTCTTGTAAAACATACTGTTGCAGGCAACAACAAACCTATTACTCCATTACAAAACAAAAAAAAAACCTTTGTCTCTATTACACATACAGTACAAGTTTGCAATTTTTAAAAGTTGAGTAGGAAAATAATTAGGTGCGTGTCCGAGAAAATATAGAAGATTCTAGGGGACATAATTGCTCAAGGCCACATCTGCCCACTTGGAGGTAGAGGCAAGCCAAGGACCCCCCATATGCAGTTCAGTAGCTATTTGTGGCCTCTATTTTTGTAAGTGATTCTGTGTAAGGGTAGCATTTGATCAGTCTTTTTTTTTTTGTTCAAGTCCCCAAGGTCGGGGAAGGGGGCTCTTCCAGGCAAAGAGGGTAGCTCTTTTTGGCATAGCATACTAGAAGTTATAGTATGGTGAGCTGCCATTGCATCTTCCAGTATTCCTTGTTGGATTTCATATGTTTGAGATATATTGGGCAGCAAGTGAGCAATGTTATCCTTGAATAATCAGTTATAACAATAGTGCTCAAATGTCACTGCGCCCAATACAGACCAATTCACCAATCTAACCGTGCTGCCACTGTAAGGTTTTTATGCGAAATGTTTTAAATATATTCCACCATTAACTGTGAAAAAAGTAGCGCAAATACTTTACAGTATTAACCTCATAAAAATACTACCGTCAAAATGGGATGAGTAGACACAGAGAGGGACCTCAGTAACCTCTCTCCATATACTCCAATCCGCACATGACAGTATGCCAAAATAAATCCTTATGATTAAGTCAGGAAGTGACGAAACGCGTCAGTGTGTGACGGTGCACCTGATCGGAAGTGACGTGTCCGTGTGACGGAGACCAGAAGTGACGTGGCGAATATATTGGAATATATTTAAAACATGTTATCCTTGAAGTTGATGGTTTGAGAGCAGACAAAATAGCCAAGCATAAGCCTTTGAGTGACTCTAACAAGAGTCAAATTGTAATGGATGAACATAGAATATATATAGTAAAGCGAGCTCTCCTTAAATATTAAAGTAATAAGATAAGCAGCTAAAGCACCAGAGGAAATCACCATCTCACGTCCTTGAAATAATAAATATAAAGTGCAGCGCTAAAGTAGAAGAACATCAAACCAATAGTTTGTTCAGAAAAGTTTGTTGTAATATGTCAATTCATATATGGTAACAACCAGGTACTAACAGCTGTAGGTAATCCAAAAGAGCTCGTGAAGGAAAATGACAGAAATGCGCACTCACCGACCGCGCATAGGAAATGCGCATTAATATATCAAGATCAGCAGGTGCCGTTTCCCTCAAGGAGAGGTGTCATCAAGTGATGGTCGACTGGACTCAGAGGACCTCCTTAAGATCGGGATGAACCATCTGGATAAAGGCTCCCTCCTCTGGATACTGTATGCAGTGAAGGCTGTGTGTGCTGATCTAGTAACCCAGTTACGCTCCAAACTAAATGTTTCTACTCCTTTTGAGTATTGGGATGTGTGAGACCTTTTTTGTTGCCTAGACACACAGAGGGCCCAAAATTCAAGGAGAATTTTCAGACTTTGAAAGAGATTAAACTTGGTGTCTGATTTCCTGACTGCCTGTCACATCTCCTGAGACCTTGAAGTGCTGTAGTTGCCAACTTCTACCTTCCAGCCCTTCTTGTGGATAGGTACAATATTAGCTATCTGCCAGTTTTGGGGAACTTTTCCTTTCTCAAGAACCTCCTACCTCTAATAATGTAATGGATGAACAACTGGGGCAGAGCAACTCCAGAGCTGCAGCTCCTGTGGGATGTTCTCGGTCTGCAGTGGTCAGGACTGACCAAAAGTGGTCCAAGGACAGAAAACCAGAGAACCGGTGACAGGGTTATGGGCGGCCAAGGCTGATTGATGTACATGGGGAGCGAAGGCTGGCCCCGTGTAGTTTGATCCAATAGAAGAGTGTAGCTCAAATTGCTGAAAAATGTAATGTTGGTTCCCTTAGGTGTCAGAACACAAAGAGTTTGTTGTGTATGGGACCGTGTACCCGCAGACCGGTCAGGGTGCCCACGCTGACTCGTGTCCACAGCCAAAAGCACCTACAATAGGTACATGAGCATCAGAATTGGATCATGGACCAATGGATGAAAGTATCTTTAAGGTGTTGACTTGGCCTCCAACTTCTCCAGATCTCAATCCAAGCATTTGTGGGATTTTTGCTGACAAAATAAGTCCAATCCATGGAACTTACAGGATTTAAAGGATCTGATACTGATGGCTTGGTGCCAAATACTACAGCATACCTTCCGAAGTCTATTGAAGCCCCGACTGCTCAGTGCTGTTTTAGCAACAAAAAGGAAACCTACCTATATTTGGTGTGTGGGTTGTAATGATATGGCTGATCTTTGCATGTACAGGCATATACGTTGGTCTTACAGTGAACTGAATCCAGCCTAAAAAGTCAGTAGAGTTGAATTATGGTGCTTTGTGGTTTCTGCAGGCACTTGTGTAAGGCTCCAATACCAGCACTGAAGCGTGCGTTAGGTATTGCGTGTAGAGCAGGCCATTCATTTCAATGGGCTGCCCTACATGCGAGAAACACTTGCGAGAAAAAGAGCTGTCCCTAGCCCTTTTCAGAACTCATGCCACACTGAATTGCATAGTGCTGTAGCGCCAGGCCTTTTTGGCACATGTAAAAAACACATGCACTCGCGGACACCAGCTGGTACCATTAGGAATTAATGGCTCTGGTGCATGTCTGCAAAAGCATGTTCCTGTGTGGGAAAGCGTACGATTTTGCATGCGTTCCCGAAACTCGTGTAACTGTAGCTTTAGTCTTAAAGTCCAAGGTAGATTTTTTTTTCTATTCTCCTCCTCTTCTTAACCGGACACTTTTACCCCCTTCCTGTCCAATTTTCAGTTTTCAGCGCTGTCACACTTTGAATGACAATTGCGCGGTCATGCAACACTGTACCCATATGAATTGTTTAGCATTTTTTTGAGACAGATAAAACTTTATTTTGGTGGTATTTATTCACCGCTGGGAATTTTATTTGTTTGCTATATAAATTAAAAAGTCCAAACATTTTGAAAAAAGTATTTTTCTTATACAATTTTGCAAATAATCTTTCTTCATAAATCCTGGCCAAAATGTATTCAGCTATCTTTTTCATAAAAAAAAATAACCCAAATTAGTTTATAACCAAAGATTATAATTTTTCAAAAACATTTTTTACATTTTTTTATTTTTTATATTTTTTTTAAACATACGGTCACCCTAGCAGTACAGTGTCACCATAGTGACACTGTACTACTTGTGGGGGGTGATGAACGTTTTTTTTTTTTTCTTACACTGATTGCTTTTACACCCATACATGCTGTAAAACCAATCATTCCTCCTTCTCTCTGGCTGCATTCTTGCAGCCATTGAGAAATACTGTGAGAACTGTGATTGGTCACAGCTTGTCACATGGTAAAAGGCTGTTGTGATCATTCAGTTTTCACACATAGTAAGCAATGATGTCAGAAGTGACATCTTGCTTACTACTCTACATGTGATCACTGATAGGCCATTTTTTTATATTATTAGTTTTTTTTTCTTTTAACATACTGTCACCCTAGCAGTACAGTGTCACCATAGTGACACTGTACTACTTGTGGGAGGTGAAGTGTTTTTTTTTTTTTTTTTTTTTACACTGAATAAAGGCTGTAAAAGCAATCATTTCTCCTCCTCTCTGGTTGCATTCTTGCAGCCATTGAGAAATACTGTTAGTTCTGTGAATAGTCACAGCTTGTCACATACTACAAGGCTGTTGTGAATAGCCTTGCACCATGTGATCTCTGTGATCATTCAGAGATTTCACACGTAGTAAGCAGTGATGTCAGGAAGTGACATCTTGTTTACTACTATTCAATCAGTGATCACATGATCGGGACCTCAACAGAGGGTCCTGTACAACGATCAGTGTTCCTCTGGACACAGCAGGCGCCAGATCGCGCACAGGCAGTGAATGCGGAGGCCGTTTATAAACCCCCACCCGCTCCTGTCTACTCCCGTCTGGCCATTTATGTACATGGGCCAGATGGGAAGTGGTTAAAGACTCACCAGGAATTCTAAAAGCAACAAAAAATAATGCAGCTCTGCCTGGAATGCTCGCCTCTTCAATAGCATTGTCACCCACAGTAATCTGTTTCCATTACTAGATGTCCTCAGTCTTCTGAGGTGAATGAATCCCAGTCCAGACCCAGAAGGCTGAGGGCATCTTGTTAGTGCAGCACATCTTATATTTGCCCCTGAGAGGGCATCATGATGGGACCCTGCACTCAGTTTAATAATGTAGAGCTTCACTCAAATCAGGCCAGCAACATTCTGTACATCATAGAGGACTGCCCGACAAAGAGAAAAGTACCCTGCCATTCAGGTGACTACCCAGAAGTAAACAATGGAGGTGCCATTTGCTGGGACACGGGCAGAAATTTAGTTGGTCTTCAATTTAATCCCTATGTTTTCTTGGAGCCGTATAATCCTATCCCCACTTGTACACAGGGCCTCAAGTTCTATCCCCACTTGCACACAGGGCCTCAAGTTCTATCCCCACTTGCACACGGGGCCTCAAGTTCTATCCCCACTTGTACACGGGGCCTCAAGTTCTATCCCCACTTGCACACGGGGCCTCAAGTTCTATCCCCACTTGCACACGGGGCCTCAAGTTCTATCCCCACTTGCACACAGGGCCTCAAGTTCTATCCCCACTTGCACACGGGGCCTCAAGTTCTATCCCCACTTGTACACGGGGCCTCAAGTTCTATCCCCACTTGCACACGGGGCCTCAAGTTCTATCCCCACTTGCACACGGGGCCTCAAGTTCTATCCCCACTTGCACACGGGGCCTCAAGTTCTATCCCCACTTGCACACGAGGCCTCAAGTTCTATCCCCACTTGTACACGAGGCCTCAAGTTCTATCCCCACTTGTACACGAGGCCTCAAGTTCTATCCCCACTTGTACACGAGGCCTCAAGTTCTATCCCCACTTGTACACGAGGCCTCAAGTTCTATCCCCACTTGTACACGAGGCCTCAAGTTATATCCCCACTTGTACACAGGGCCTCAAGTTCTATCCCCACTTGTACACGAGGCCTCAAGTTCTATCCCCACTTGTACACAGGGCCTCAAGTTCTCGAGTCCTCCAGACACTCTGCAGATATGCAAATTCAGCACAAGACAAGCTTCCTGCGGCTGAGTAAGGCTACGTTCACACTAGCCTTGTGTGCAGGCGGCAGAGAGGCGTTTGGGAAGCGTTTTTACCGCTTCCCAAATGCCTCTGCCAATTCTGCACATTACAGCACATGGTGCTGTTCTAACGCTCCACAAACACCGGACCAACGCTTGCCAAACGCTATAGGGGCGTTTGGCAAGCGTTGGCAAAACAGCCAAGTGTGAACGAGCCCTTATGGTGGTTATCCTCTTCTGTTCCACTAATACTTATGTTTTTATTTTCTAGATGTGAAGTTGAAAATCGATATCAAGGGAACCCATTGAAAGGAACATGCTATTGTAAGTGCCAGACTACTCTCTTTAGTTGCTAACTCATATTTCTAGAAATATTGGTGTTCTGTCCTAATGATCCTCTACTTGCTTTAGTTCGAGGACAACTGAAATCTGTTCTATCTAATCTGGAGATATTGGTTAGCTGATATTTACTGAATACATCAGAAATTATGGTTAAGATGCTCTCCGTGCAGACAATGCTCCTGACAGCTCTAAGGTTAGGTTCACATCTGTTAGGATGCTTGTTGCTTCAGGACCGCTCCTGTTCCTGAGCCACCAGCAGAGAAAAATGTGCTGCCATTCAGGAGATACGTGGGGGTACCATTAGTCTTAATTGTACACCCACACACTGGAAACCACAGCACAGTTTCCCGCACTGGGAACCACACTGTACTATGGGGTTTCTCTGCAGCTGCATTTTCACACAAGCAACCAAGTTGTGGAAAAAAACACATAAATCTATACTAGGGCGGGGTTGTTAAACTCCATTTCACCACAGGCCGTATCAGCATTATGGTTACTCTCAAAGGGCCGGTTGTATTCGTAAGACTAAATGTCAAGAATCCCACACTTTCCCTAACATCACCGTGCACCCCCTTTGGGAGCAGAGCTGGAAAGCAGAAAGTGCAGGGTCTGGCGGAGGACCAGAGGAGTGGAGTCAGTTACAAGAGTCTTCTGAATGCTGAGACTAGGGGAGGCAGAGATGAGGGGGTGCAAGGATGAGGAGGATATGGCAGATTTTTTCTTTTCTCCTTTCTGCTGGGCAGTGCTGAGACAAGGTGGGGGCGGAGACAAAAGGGTACCTGCAGGAGAGGTGCAAGGGCCTCATGAAATGTCCTGGAGGCCTGGATTCGGGCTTTGGGCCTTGTGTTTGACACCTGTGTACTAGGGCCTAAACTGTGAAGGTTGTCATTTATCTAGGTCATGGTAGAGTTAATCGTTGGTCACATTCAACCAGGCTTATTTTGTAAAGTTTTAGAGCTTATCCAAGTTACTACGTCAGTTCTAATGAGTGTCAGGCAGATACCCCAGCATTTATATCCACACAGGTAGCAAAGACTCCTAGAACAGGATGGAACCCCCCCCACACACTCCTGTTCTAGTCACATAATCCCATCCCTGGTGTCAGGAGGACTACTTAGGTGTTCAGTTAGGTTTTACTAGGAATTTGTTGTGAAATTGCTGCAGTGGGGATAGTAAAACACCATTATATGTGGAAGGCCAATGGTATTGAAGGACCCCACCTTTGATGTCGATGGTCTCTTTCATGCCTTTTGCAAACCTGTTGTTCTTTCTGCCCAAAAATATGCACCTCGCTATCCTCCAGAGAATGTCCGATTCCTTAAAGCAGAGCTCCACCTACAATGGGAAGTTCCTCTTTAAGAACTGCTCCTCATTAAGGATTGGCACCTTTTGGGGGCAGGGGGGGAGTGGGTATCCAAATTTGACAGGTTCCCACTTCCAGTCCGATTGCATAGGCAATCGGAAATGGAAGGTGTCCTCCCTCCCTGTAGTCTTTTGGGACACGTGACAGGTCCCAGAAGACTACAGGACCATTCATGAAGCGCAGCTCTACTCGTGCATGCGCAGTGGGTACCCGGCTGTGAAGCCACAAGCAGTCACAGCCGGGTGCCCACACTGAAGATTCCGGCCTCTTGGAATACAGGACGGCCGGTGAAATGGGCTGTGGGGGACACACCACGGGACCGAGGGACAGGTAAGTGGCTGTTTTTTTAAAAGTTAGCTGCTAAAGTTTTTGTAGCGGCTGACTTTTATTTTTTGACAGGGTGAGTGGAACTCCGCTTTAAGGTGTAGAAAAGCTGTTAACTCTTGCCTTACCCTCCCATGTCGGGCCATTCCTTTGTGGAAAGTTTTTCTTCCTCTTATGTACTGTTCTTTGCATTCCCCCCCTACACACCACTACACATACCAAGTTACTTTGCTGGTGTTTTGGTGTTGGGTCTTTAGGATGTACATGCTTCTGTCTCTGTGTTTCTGGGCCTAAGGGACACAGGGATGCAATGTTTGTTAAAGATTTTCCGATGTATTGTTTGACTTATTGGCATACCCTTGTTTTCTAATTAAATGTCTAAAAAGATCCTCTAGCATAAAAATTGTGTTGAATGAAAATAATCACAACAGTGACATCTGTGGGCTGAAGTGGAATTTGCATTACATGAAAACCAAATGTAGAATGTTTGTCTTTAGGCTGAATTCACACAGAATGAACAGCTGCTGGAGAGGTAAACTGCAGCGGTTTCAGCTCTGGCAGTTGTCCTTTCCAACTATGGTAGGGGGCAGTGCGGTACGATATTCAGCATGATGTGCCCTTGACATTTGTTCCTTTGTTAGTATATTCCAATTATTTATTGAATAAATGATCTTTTAAAAAGTTAATGCACTAGGCCCGTGCGCCCTCTGTTTGTTTGTTTCTTTGTATGTAGTATTCTGGATCCCCCTGGTCCATTGAGGACAGCAAGGCCTACAGTTTCCAGGCATCCTACTTGTGGTCTTATACCTGTAGTCCATCCTCCAGCGCAAAAGTACAGTGGGGCATAAAAGTATTTAGTCAGCCACCAATTGTGCAAGTTCTCCCACTTATAAAGATGAGAGAGGCCTGTAATTGGCATCATAGGGAGACCTCAACTATGAGAGACAAAATGAGAAAAAAAAATCCAGACAATCACATTGGCTGATTTGGAACGAATTTATTTGCAAATTATGGTGGAAAATATGTATTTGGTCACCTACAAACAAGCAAGATTTCTGGCTCTCACAGACCTGTACCTTCTTCTTTAAGAGGCTCCTCTGTCCTGCACTCATTACCTGTATCAATGGCACCTGTTCTTTCCAGATCAGCCAATGTGATTGTCTGGATTTGTTTTCTCATTTTGTCTCTCATAGTTGAGGTCTACCTATGATGCCAATTACAGGCCTCTCTCATCTTTTTAAGTGGGAGAACTTGCACAATTGGTGGCTGACTAAATACTTTTTTGCCCCACTGTATATGTTTATGCCATTCTTTAACATGAGCAACTGCTTTATTTTCCTGTGGCCCAGTTTTTACTTCTGAGCCTGGTTGTGCCTATTAATCATCCTAAATATCATTCTCTCACACAGACACGTTGCTTATAGATTACCAGTTCACCTTCAGCCTCTCTCAGGAAGATGACAGATACTACACAGCAATTAACTTTGTGGCCACTCCTGAAGAGGTGAGTCTTTATAGATCTAAATGTACTGGAGGTTTGATCATAAAATGAATGCATCATTTTGGTGTGTCTGTGTTATATATATATATTTGGTTTTTACCCAAATTGCCTTTTATTATGTATGTGTATATGACTGTGTTGTGCAGTTTACACTGTAAGTGCCTTTTGGGTTAGGTCATGTTTCCCTCTGTCCTCCCAGTACGAAGAGTTGTAGAAATCGTGCATAGGCATTTTGAAACCGTAACAGGGGAGGTCTTAAAGTGGAAGTATAGTCAAATACTAACTTAGTTTAAACCTACTCCCACCCCCATTCTTAGGCTCTTTTATCTACCCTGTAAAGCAGGTTTGTCCAATCCTTGGCCCAAGTCAGCTAGAGAATGCAGCCCAATACAAAATCATAAACTTAAAATGTTTTTTTCCCTTTTGTAAAAACGCGTGCAAACTTGGTGAACACATGCGACCGAAGAAAAATATGACAGTGTTTTCTTATTGGACTTTTGTTTTATTTTCCTAAAGAAAAATCTCCCTTTTTCACAATCACGCTTTATTCATGTCATCAGTTTTCAGCAGCGCCTATATTTGTGAGCAACTATTTTTAAGGATGAAGCACATGAAGGATCACCCCCCCAGTTATAACCTTTCGTACCACTCGCCCCACCTTATTCAATTGTAAGCGTTTATGAGCAGGGCCCTCTTAATCCTCTTGTTCTGATTGTATTGTGGCTGAACTGTTGGCGCGCTATACAATTTCTGTATAATGATGATGATAATAATGAAGGGCAAAATTTAGAACCAAAATATCTGATGAGCCCCTAGAGAATTCATTGAGAATTGCGTCTACATCCATCGAACCAGACGTTGATGTGTTAGCCTATCAAACATATTGTCAAATATCGCACTAGTTTTAGTTTGTCGTCTTTTACTTTTAGAATTAAAAATATTACAAATAAATTGCGTTTTATTACTCAGATAGGTTACACTATCTATATCCGTGATCATTAACTTGTGATCTGCCCCTCTTTTTCTGCTCATCCGCTATCCATATTGTTAGTGTTTTTTATGTGTGGCCCAAGACCAGTCCTTTTTTTTCCAGTGTGGCCCAGGATAGTCAAAAGGTTGTTCTCCCTTGCTGTAATGGAAAGTATTCCATACTTGCCTATGCTGATGGTGGTCTGTCACATGATCTCTCCAGCGGCTGGTTTCAGTAAAGAGAATAGATTGCCAACAACGGGTGCAGAGCCTATGAAGTGATCTCACCCATAGGTTTACTATGGGGCATCCGTTGTCAGCTGTCCCTCCTCTATACAGATATTGGCACTGGGACCTAATTATGTGACTGGGTAGGTAAGTGTTCAGATCGTTCCTTTCAAAGAGTAGATGGAATAGGTTTAGAATGAGGGTGGGAGTAAGTTTAGGCTTATTATTTGAGTGGAATTCCACTTTAACCACTTCCCGTCTGGCCCATGTACATAAACGGCCGGACGGGAGCAGTGCAGGAGCGGGTTGCCGTTCTTAAACAGTGCCCGCTTTTTCTGGGTGTGCATGCTTCCTGGGCACACAGCAGAACACAGACGGCTGTACGGGACCTCTGTGTGAGTTCCCGATCATGTGATCACTGATTGGCCAATCAGTGATCACATCAATAGTAGTAGACAAGATGTCACTTCTGACCAGTGGCGGACTGACCATTTGGAAACTCGGGCATTACCGAGGGCCCGGGGTCAGTAGGTGAGATGTCCCATGTACCTTTTTCATAGGCTTTTTTGAGTTTGGGCAAGGACACAGGGGCCCCATGATCCCCTATTGCCCGGGGGCCCCATGAGTTGTCAGTCCGCCCCTGCTTCTGACATTACTTACTACTTGTGGAATGTGTGAATGATCACAGAGCTCACATGGTACAAGGCTATTCACAACAGCCTTGTACCATGTGATAAGCTGTGACCAATCACAGCTCACAGTATTTCTCAATGGCTGCAAGAATGCTGCCAGAGAGGAGGAGAAATTATTGCTTTTACAGCCTTTAATCAGTGTAAAAAAAAAAAATCTTCATCACCCCCCACAAGTAGTAGTGTCACTATGGTGACACTGTACTGCTAGGGTGACAGTATGTTAAAAGAAAAAAAACATAAATAATAATATAAAAAAAAATTTAGAAAAATTTATAATTTTTGGTTATAAACTAATTTGGGTTATTATTTTTTTTTACTAAAAAGATAACCAAATGAATTTTGGCCAGGATTTATGAAGAAAGATTATTTGCAAAATTTTATAAGAAAAACACTTTTTTTTCAAAACTTTTCATTTATATAGCAAAAAAAAAAATCCCAGTGGTGAATAAATACCACCAAAATAAAGTTTTAACTGTCTGTAAAAAATGCAAAAAAATTAATATGGGTACATTGTTGCATGACCGCGCAATTGTCATTCAAAGTGTGATAGCACTGAAAGCTGAAAATGTGGCCCAGGCAGGAAGGGGGTGGAAGTGTCTGGACTTGAAGTGGTTAAAGGGAAATAGAGTATACCACAAGGTGGTAAAGGAGGGAAAAAATGTACAGTGGGCCAGTATCTATCATCCTTTTGTTCATGGCAGAACTGCGTCTTTTCCCATACACTTGGAGATGCAAATGCCAGTGGATGCAGCTTAGCAGGCCGGTTGCTGAAGCACCTGATAGAAATCTGCATTTGACTCCATAAAAGCCCTATGAAAGCCTTTAAAAGCGGGGTTATGATGGGTTGGACCCCGCTCCATTGCATGCTTCGCTCAGTCTTAACACAGATGCTGCAGGGCAGACATGAACAGGTCAGACTTGGTGAGGGGAGGATTCCTTTGGTGTACATTTTTACATAAAAACCTGAATGTGCTGCAGAGGATAATGAGCATGGGTGAGGTGGATTTATTTCATATTCATCAATGTAAATCTATGCGGTTTATAGAAAATCTGTCACTGGCATTCAGGGCAGAAGAGCAGCTTTCAACAGGCCCCCCGTACATGCACACATGAACATAAATAGACCTATGTATGGAATATGAAGCTTGCCATACACATGTTGCATATCACCATGTATGCTTGTTGGAGTGAGAGCCGTCATTCTATGGACATTATTTATAGTTAACACTTTAGGGGCTTTTAAACTGTTATCTATGTAAAATTTAGGGTGCTGAAGTTGATCATTTTGTGGGCAAACACAGATTTAAAGCTTGAAATATGCTGCACATCTGTTTACTCTGTTTGGCTTCATTCTTTTATATTTAACCCCTAAAATTGGGTAATATTGCATTTGTGTGCTCTAAAATCAACGTAACCCCTTGCCTACTGGGCACTGTCACCCCCTTCCTGCCCAGGCCAATTTTCAGCGCTGTCGCATTTTGAATAACAATTGCGCGGTCATGCAACACTACCCATATGAAATTTTTAGCATTTTTTTCACACAAATAGAGCTTTCTTTTGATGGTATTTAATCACCACTGGATGTTTTATTTTTTGCGCTATAAACAAAAAAGAACAAAAAAATTGTAAAAATAAAAGTTTTTCTTTGTTTCTATTATAACATTTTGCAAACAGGTAATTTTTCTCCTTCACTGATGTGCATTGATGAGGCTAAACTGATAGGCAGCACTGATAGGGGGCACTGATGAGCACTGACTGATGGTACTGCTGGGCACTGATGGACAGCACTGATGAGGGGCAGTGCTGGGCATAGGTGGGTGGCACTGCTGGGCACAAGTGGGTAGCACTGTTGGGCACTGATCATCAGGGCAGTGATCATCAGTGTCCTGATGATCACTGACGATCACTTCTCTGACAATTGCCAATGATTGGCAGTACTTTCCTCACACTGTGACAGTGTGAGGAAAGTGCAGATGATAGCTGGAAACTGTATTTACCCGGTGATGTTGTGCTGATCATGTGGTAAAAGTCCGCTGTGATTGGCTGTTTACCGTAGCACATGATCAGCTGTGTCCGTAGGACACAGCGATCACCAGTGGCGCCGGGTACACGCCGCTGGGGGAGCAAAGGGGGCGTGTTCTAGAATGACGTCCATGGACATCATCCCAGAACTAGACAACCGCGCTGTAGCTATCCTTCGGCTATAGCACGGTAGGAAAGAAGTTAAATATATTTTTACTGAAATTTTGCGCCTCATAAACTGTTGTGCAAATATTGTGTAACACAAAATGGGAACTGCGACTGTTTTATTCTCTAGAGTATCTGCTTTCAGAAAATATACAGTATTGTGCAAAGGTTTTAGGAAGTTGGGAAAAAATGCTGTAAATTAAGAATGCTTTCAGAAATGGAAGTGTTAATAGTTTGTAGCATTATTTCTTCTAAGTACACTTGCACACAGTTTTTGAAGGAACTCGGCAGGTAGGTTGTTCCAATCATCTTGAAGAACTAACCACAGATCTTCTATGGATGTACACATAAAGAAGGCGTCTCTAAGTGCAGCAATATAGCAGGTTATTAGCGTAAAAGGTTAAAACCACTTACAAAAAAATGCAAAAGGTCAGGCTCATCACATGTGTGTATCCTATGTTCCTGGTGGAAATGGAGCTGGGACCGTTTGGCCGTTCAGCATCAGCGGGGCCCGTAGAGCGTATGAATGTCGGAACCAATATGGCCGCCGCACTTCCGGGATCGGCATGGATGTAGGCTGCCTCAAATCCTTCTGTCCCTTTATGTAATCTCAGGCAGGCTTAATAATGTTGAGATTAGGGCTCTGTGGGGGCCCATGACTTACAGGACTCCTTGTTCTTCTTTACGCTTAAGATAGTTCTTAGTGACATTGGCTGCATGTTTGAGGTCCTGTAGAATACATTTGCTGCCAATCACATGCCTTCTTGGTGATATGGATAAGTTTCTGCCTGTAATTCTGAGCATTGAGGACACCATTGATCCTGACCAAATCTCCAACACCATTTGCAGAAATGCAACCCCAAACTTGCAAGGAACCTCCACCATGCCACACGGTTGCCTGCAGACACTCATTAGTGTACTGCTCTT